ATACTGGGCGCTATCTAGCAAAATGAAATTCAATGGTGAAAAAAGTAAGGTTCTACATTTAGGCAAGAAAAACCAAATGCACAGGTACAGTAGAGTCAGTGATGGCGAACCTTTTAGAGACCGAGTGCCCAAACCATAACCCAAAACCCACTTATTTATCGCAAAGTGCCAGGGCTGCATCAGCATTGTGTTACCCTCAGGGGGGGGCATGGGGGCATGGCCCATTGGGTAGGCGTGGCCCACTGGGTGAGCATGGCTGTAGTTGTCACGGCAGACTGGGTGGGTATGGCTGGGGTGGGCATGGCCACCTTGATGTTGCTCATGGGGGGGATGCCTGTGAGGGCCCGGCAGGGTTGGGGGAGATCCAGGGGATCTCTGGCGGGTGGGGCGGTGGGCAGGAGGCCCAGCATAGATGTGGGGGAGGCACACAATCCTAGCTAGGACTGGGGGACTATGGTGCCGATGGGGATCTGGCTTTCCCTGCTCGGAGTGGCCTTTGGCATGCTGGTTGTGGGCATGCTGTACCACCTCCACTTGAGCTTGCTAGCTAGCCACTTCGCCTCCTTTGTGCTGGGTGGGGCTGCCGCTCCAGGCAGCGGTGGCAGCCTAATGGACCTACGCAAGCTGCTGGCAGAGGCGGTGTGCATGCCCACAGAGAGGGCTCTGCGTGCCACCTCCGGTACGCATGCCATAGGTTCGCCACCACTGGTATAGGTGGTACCTTGCTCAATAGTAATGAGCTGAGGTGGCGCAGCAGTTAGAGTGCAGTACTGCAGGCCACTTTAGCTGACTGTGTTCAGCAGGTCAGCGGTTCAAATCTCACCGGCTCAAGGTTGACTCAGCCTTCCATCCTTCCGGGGTAGGTAAAATGAGGACCCAGATTGTTGGAGGCAATGTAAATATATATATACATTGCTTACTGGTGTACACCATTTAGAGAGTGCTTGCACTTAAAGCGGTATATAAGTCTCATAAATAAATAAATAAATAAATAAATAGTAGCAACTGTGAGCGGGATCTTGGACTCCTAGTGGACAATCACTGAAATATGAGCCAGCAGTGTGCTGCAGCTGCCAAAAAAGCCAACACAGTGCTAGGCTGCATTCACAGAAGAACAGAATCAAGTTCACGTGAAGTGTTAATACCATTTTACAATGCCTTTGTAAGGCCACACTTTGAATACTATATCCAGTTTTGGTCACCACGATGTAAAAAAGATATTGAGACTCTAGAAAGAGTGCAGAGAAGAGCAACAAAGATAATCAGGGGACTGGAGGCTAAAACATATAAGGAACAGTTGCTGGAATTGGGTATGTCTACTTTAATGAAAAGAAGGATTAGGGGTGACATGATAGCAGCATTTCAATATCTCAGGGGCTGCCCCAAAGAAGAGGGAGTCAAGCTATTCTCCAAAGCACCTGAAGGCAGAACAAGAAGCAATGGATGGAAACTAACCAAAGAGAGAAGCAACCTAGAACTAAGGAGAAATTTTCTGACAGTTAGAGCAATTAATCAGCAGAACAACCTGCCTCCAGAACTTGTGAATGCTTCAACACTGGAAGTTTTTAAGAAGAGACTGGACATCCATTTGTCTGAAATGGTATAGGTTCTCCTGCTTGAGCAGGGGGCTGGACTAGAAGACCTCCAAGGTCCCTTCCAACATTATATTATTATTATTATTATTATTATTATTATTATTATTATTATTACTACTACTACTACTATCATTACCTTACCCACCAACATCCCCACTGACTTTTGTTGAAAGTTGGCTTGGTCGCAAATGGTGATCACTTGACTGCTGGACACTGTAACCATTATAAATCCCTGATGGTTGCCAACCACCCAAATCATGATCACGTGACTGCAGATGGTTGTAAGTGTGAGGACCAATCACAAATCACTTTTTTCAGTGCAGTTGTAACTTCAAATGTTCATTTAACAAGTAGTTGTAAGTTGAAGACTACAGGTAGTCCTCAACTTACAACCACAATGAAACCCAACATTTCTGTTGCTAAGCAGGACAATTGTTAAGTGAATTTTGCCCCATTTTACGACCTTTCTGGCCACAGTTGCACAATCACTGCAGTTGTTAAGTTAGTATGTTGTTATGTGAATCAGGCTTCTCCACTAACTTTGCTTGTCAGAATGTCACAAAAGGGGATCACGTGACCCTGGGATGCTGCAACCATCATAAACATGAGCCAGTTGCCATGCGCCTGAATTTTGATCACTGGGATGCTACAATGGTCATAAGTGTGAAAATCGGTCATCAGTCACTTTTTTCAGTGCTGTTGTAACTTGGAACAGTCACTAAATGGACAGTTGTTAAGCTGAGGACTATCTGTACCAGTACACTGGGGTTTACTCTTTTTATCCACAGTGTTTTTCTCTGTGGTGCAGACAAACCATATTTGTGGAGATTTCTCCCTCTTATGCTAAGGGCAAGGCTAGAAAAAGCTACACGTTCTCCTACCTTGAGCAGGGGGTTGGACTAGAAGACCTCCAAAGTCACTTCAAGCCCTACAATTCTATGTTCTAAGTTCTCCAAGTCGGCTGCTACAGCCGAGGGGAACTTCCTTTTCCAGTTTCAGAATGACAATCCAGAAAAGAAAATGAAAAGAAATCAAAGTTGAGATTTTAGACATACTGGACTCCATCCAAGTTCTCAAAATTGATGGGTGCTCCGAAAACGATGCCGGTGGGCTGGAGTTAAGATACTCTTCCTCTGCTGTAGAAAAGAGATCTTCATCGTTAATTGAATGTTTTCAGGACTTTTTTCTTTGCATCCTGAGGCGAGAGTTACTGAGCTCTCCCTGGGGTGAGGCCCTATCTGAGGGAGATCTTAACTTGATCCCTGATAAGGACCGTTTTCTGGGGCAATGAAGGATGCTTCAGCCAAAATCTCAGAGCTAATATTTATAAAGGAAGATATGGAGAAGGGCATGGTATAACATGGCATGGCATGGCATTGCTGAACGATGTTTCCCAGAGATTATTAGTGTTATCTGTACTCCTAACGGTGACGGTGTGACTCATAAACCCTGTAAAGTAAACTTACTTTAGTCTCATAGATTAGCGTGGTACAGGCCTTGATCCACTTTTAAGATTATGGCTGGGGAGGATCTGCACCTCAGATGGAGTTCTCCTCACCACCAAAATAAATCACTGGGAAACAAACATAAATTCTTCTGTTCTACTCTGGTACATCTTGAATTCTAATATTGTTAGGCCAGTCCTTTAATTTTACTTCCTTGCCTTGGCAAAAGACCAAATCACCTCAATTGTGTAAGTTGAATATAGATGAGGGGTCTTCAAACCTGGCCCTTTTATGACTTGTGGACTCCCAGATTGAGCTGTGGACTAATTGGTGGTCTCTGAGCGAAGTTTTCTTGCAGACATTACAAAACTAGGTAATGCAAACTCTACTCCCGCTGATGCCGTTAGCCAGTTTGGTAATGAAATGTCTGTTAGAAAACCACCGAGCTCAGAAAGCACCAAAGACCCTGGAGCTTGGGCTCAGAAGGCATCCTTTGGAAGCGAAGGGGAACTACAAATATTAGCATCAGAGATTTAGATGCCTTGTAATTAAAACTAGAGCATTTTCTGGCAGACCTCTGGAAATTCAGCAAAATCAAGGTCTATGGAAATTCTCAATCATTCAGGTCATGGTTGTCCCAAAGGTGCTTTTCCAAAAGGCAACTGGTCTTCCTTGCACCTTTGGGACAACCACGAGCTGAATGTGGACTTTCACGGTTTCCCCCCCCCCCCCTTGAAGACATTTCATTTCTCATCCAAGAAGCTTCTAACTTCAGTGAAGAACTGAAGCAGTTTCTTGGATGAGAAGCAAAATGTTTTGAAGGAAAAAAACCCCAAGAAAAGTCCAGTTGACTTTTGGAAAAGCACCTTTGGGACAAGCAAAGCCAAGGCACTTACAGTGGATCTCAAGAGGTAATTTACCACCCGTTGGGAAGTGTTGCTGTGGTTGGAAGCTCATGTTCTGCTTGAAGGACCTCCATTTCCTGATCTCTGGAGGTTTGGGAGTGTCTAAAATCAATGCTGCCACAAGGGCACCCACTGGGATACAGGAAGGAGCCAACCTTCACCATCTCCCACTTTGCCTCAAAAACAGAAAGAGGGGTTCTCAGCATTTGCCACAGGTGAGTGGGTACATCCGTACCTCTGAGGCTTCAGGTGTCAACACTGCTAATATTGGATGTTCTTGCTTTGACAACAGATGGAAATGCAGCCATTTTCTCTATTGCTTTTAGAATTAGTTGATACTGGAAGGGGGAATGAGTCCAGCTAGTCATAACAATAATAATGTAATCATGGGAACCCAAGGACATTGGGCCCAGAGCTGATATTGTTTTGGCTGGCTGGAGAGCAAGCCTGCGCTTTAAGCTAATTGGGGAATGTGATTTATGACTGTTTATTGGAGGAGGGAATTGTACTTTGTTACTTTGTATCTAGGGGAGGGGAATTTAGTTTTTGGTTTCAACTATGTAGTGTCGATAATTTCTCAAATAAAAGATTCTTTAAGGTAAACAATGCCTCGAAGTTCTTTTGAAGAGTTTCATCCGTCAGAACCATGACATCAGGTCTTACACTTTCCTGATTACAGATAATCCTTGACTTACAGCCACAATTGAGCCCAGCATTTCTGTTGCTAAGTGAAACATTTGTTAAACAAATTTTACCTCACTTTCCTGATTACAGGTAGTCCTCAACTTACAGCCAAAATTGAGCCCAGCACTTCTGTTGTTAAGTGAAACATCTGTTAAGCAGATTTTACCTCAATTTACAATTGCTGCCATTGTTAAGCTAGTAACACGGTTAAGTGAAACTGGCTTCCCCATTGACTTTGCTAGTCAGGTCACAAAAGGGGATTATAACCTCCAGGACACTGCAACCCGTCATAAATATGAGTCAGTTGTCAAGCGGCCAAATTTTGATCATGGGACTATGGGGATGCTGCAACAATTGTGTGAAAAATGGTCATATGTCACTTTTTTCAGTGCCGTTGTAACTTTGAATGGTCACAAAATGAACCGTTGTGTCAAGGGCTCCTTGTAGTTGGGAAAACCTGCCTCCTGGACAGTCTGAAGGACACAAGGATAGCCTGCTGGCCTTCTCCCTCATCTTAGTACAGTTCTCCCTCCCCCATGGGCATGAAGGGAGAAGGCCTGAAAGAGGGGAGAGGGGAGTCTCTTTCCCTTGAATCAAGGGAGGAATCTCAGCACAGAAACCATATTTATTTATTTATTTATTTATGAACAGAAAATGTCACCCTTGTATAGACGGGGCGGTTTACAAAATAGAAACATCAACAGAAACATCAAAACAAACCCCAATCCATATCCCCCTCCCATCCCCAATTAAAATTACATTTTAAAATAACTCTTAAATGGCCGCTCTGCCACCACCGGAAGAATGATCGGATGTCTGCAATTGAGGGTGGGAGAAGCCATCTTAGCACCTTTTAAAAAAACAGAACAACAAAAAAAAAAACCCAACCAGGAACCCCTCTTCCTTCTTGCTCTCCCCCCCCCCCTTGCACTTCATCCCAACAGAAGATTCTTGAGATGTGACACCTCACCCTTCTGGTTCCTCCTGGCAAAGAGGGGCTGTAGTTGTGGCCAGTGAGGTACCCATGGATCTTTGAGGAACAGTAGACTCATGGTCTTTAAAGAAGACCATCATGACTTGATGGAGTCTGAATGGAGCCACTGGAGTGAGTAAGAGATCAGCTTCAGAATGTCCTAGATCAGGGGTAGGCAACCTTGGCTCTTTTATGACTTGTGGACTTCAACTCCCAGAATTCCTGAGCCAGCCATGCTGAGGGGACAGGGAGAGGTTTCCATGCTGAGCCATGCTGGCTCAGGAATTCTGGGAGTTGAAGTCCTCGAGTCATAAAAGAGCCAAGGTTGCCTACCCCTGTCCTAGATCCACCGTAGGATAACGGCTATTCTCCCTGCCTCTGCCTAATTCTATATTTGGACAAACACCCCACAAATCCCACTTTCTGTAAGAGAAAATGAAGGCCAACAAGAAAAATCTCAATTTTGAAGGATTCTCTCCTTACAACCTGGGAAGAGAAATTTAAAACACTGACATTTCCTTAGATCAAGATTGCAGCTCACTGTATAAACCAAGGGTGTCCAACCCCAGCAGCGTTAAGATTTATGGACTTCAACTGGCTGGGGAATTCTGGGAATTGAAGTTCACAAGACTTAAAGTTGCCGAGGTCGGACACCCCAGGTATAAATAATGGCGAGATTATAGTGAGAAATACCACTCAATTAAAAAAAAGGAAAAAAATGATGCAGCGTTTGACCAGTTTGCTTGCACTTTGACTATCAAATTAAAAGGATGGAGGTAGCCAGGAAAGTCCATCCCTGGAGAAAAATGTGGCATGATTGATTCAGGAGAAACAGGTCCCAAACTTGGGCAAAAATACATATTCTAAGGAGCTTTGGACCCAGACAAGAGAATGATTATAAAATGGAAGGAAAACATCAGCAAGGGAATCTAGTCAGCAGATTTCTCTTAAAAATAGCAATTAAGACAACCACCTGCCTATTTTAATGTCTTTACGAAGGTAATAGATAGATGGTATCCATCTAGACCAGGTTTTCTCAACTTTAGGAACTTTAAGATGGGTGGACTTCAACTCCCACCATCTGGGAGTTGAAGTCCACACCTCATAAAGCTGCCAGGTTTGAGAAACAAATCACATTTAGCCCCTTCCTGATGTTCAGGCTAAATAAAAATGTAATTGTACCACACACTTGAAAAGCTATTTATGGGAGCTGGGCAGAGAGGGAAAAGAGATTTTTGCTGGGAAGCATTTGTGTACGTTGGTGAGAGAAATTGTGCCTGGTTTCACATTAAAAAAAAAAAAACGCCATTTCAGCTGCACCACTTTGAAATATGCAACAATTTACATTTTGAAGCCAAGATCCCTCCCCCAAGAAAGAAGTAAATTGTGACCCGAGGAATACGTCTTTCTTTGAAAAAAAAAAAGTAAAGAAAACTAATTGAGTCTCACTCGACTGCTCTTTCACTTTCCCACCCCCCTGAACACAATCCTTAAATCCTATACATTCTGTGTATAAAGCATGTAACATGGAGATGTTCTTTTAAAAAAATACTTTTTCAAAAAAAAAGGAAAGAAACATATGTAAGTATATATATATATTTATATATATATATATATAGCATATATGCACACTCAAGAAGTCTAATGTAGACGTCAACAAAAGTCATTCAGAATAGTATCTGGTGGTGGTCCGAACGCTGATTTTTCTCTCCACTGAAGAAACCAAGAGGAAGAAGAGGGTAGAAGCTGCCGGATGGACTTTCTTGCTAGGCTTGAGATGAGGAAGACGGGGTCCAGATGCCTCCAAGGTGGCCGTCTTGTTCATCCTGGCTGAAAACCACAGCTGACAATCTTATACAAAGGGGACCTCATCCATGGCAGAGTTCAGTAGAGGGTGGCCCTGTCTTGCTCTGCCTATTTTTAGGCTCCCGGCCAATCAGAGAAGACAAAGCCAACTATGCCCAAACTCTGCTGATACCCCAAGTCAAAGGAATCAATGCATGTCAAGGAATCTTGCAAGCATGGTCTTCAATAACTGGCCGATCAATGGGCAACCAACTCTAAAAGGACCATCCCTGACCAGGTTACTCCAGATTTGATGCCATCTTCAAAACCCACAAGGGGCCTCTTGATTGTGCCTTCTGCCAGGTAGAGGGAAGGGTGCCGGTTGCTCCAGAACCACCTGCTCTGCTGACGGATGGATCAGCCCACCTCCTCCAAGGATGGAAGATGCTGCGTGGGTCGGTCTGCAAAGACAGACTAAAGCTTGGCCTGCATTTTGCCCTGAGTCCATAGCTTGCAGGGAGACCAAGTTCAAGGGGGGAAGGAAGGAAGGAGGGCCGTGCCACCTCAGGCTGAAGAGAAAGGTGCCATCCTGACAACTGGCAGCTTTAGAGAAGACGTGACGGTGATTGGAAATGGAATCCAGGATGCTGGGAGAGAAAATGACAAGGTTGAGGAGGAGGCAGGCCACTTCGGGCGCTCGGAAAGAACCTGAAACAGAGGCCCACTGGGCAAGGTTCAGAAAAACCATTCTACCTGTAGCTGCCTAAAGAAGCATTCTCAAAATCTGTCCCAAAACTATTGTTATCACTTCAAATACAGTTTCCAGTTGTGTTCTGGAATGTTTAGCAAGAGGCTGAGAAGTTCCAGCACGGGGGATGCCCCCAAAACTTTAGACGAAGAACAAGGATTTCCCCAGTTTCCTCAGTCATGGAATGAGAACCTAACACAAACTGGACAGCACTTAGACATTGTCTTGCTTCCCCACAAGACCTTCTTAAGCCTGCTTTTTTTCTTCTCCTCCTTTATTTATAGGGGACTTTCACCCCAAAAGGACCAAATTTCAATAGATGAGAAGCACTTTCAAGGAAGCGCTTAACTTGGACCCTCCAGGAGCCGAGGGGCACATCGCAAGAATTTCTCACCTCACGGAAGGATCACCAAGAAGATAGAAAGCTGCCTTCTGCTCTCTAGCTATCTCTCTTCCGTTTCACAAGGGCAGGGCCTTTGCAGAGGCACCGAGTTAAATTTGAATAACCTCATCCACCCACCCATCCCCAGAAAAAAAAGCAGCTTTTGGGCCTCTCATCAACTGAAGCGGACAGAGTGACTTGGCTGGTCGTGAATACTGCGCTGATGAGAATAGCTTGCATCTCCAAATGCTGCTATTTAAGAGACGTCCTACCCACCCCCAAAGCGGAGAGCGTTTGTGCCATCAAAAGGAATGTGTTCACAATACTGTCAACAGTTGTGGAAATCCTCCAGCAGCTGTGGGTCTGGAAGACACATTTTTTTTTCAACCGCTTCCCCAAAATGAGAGGATTTCCACATAGATGATTCTCTGCTGCCTTTTCTGTGTACAACCAAATTCATCTTTTCCCCTCTCCGTATTTAGAGCAGCGACATGCACAATGACAGTCTGATCCTGAGGGGCTGTAAGCGAGTCCTCTGGTGTTTCTCTCCCAAGTGAGCTGCTTCACAGCTCTTAGAACAGAGCTCAGCTTCTTGAAAAGCCGCCAAGACCTCCTAAGCGGGCCTTCTCCATGTTTTTCGTCTCCTGGAAGCCTTTCCGGGGTGCTTCTCTCCAACCTTGAGGACCTCAAAGCCTTTCCAGCTTGCTGTCTCTTATGGCTTCAGTCGACCCAGCTGGGCACAGCAGGAAGAGAAGCCACCTGAAGACACCACTAAGCATAGCTTTGCATGGAACTGAGCTAGGTTCAGCCACCTTCCCCAACAAAGATGGCAGACGTAAGGGATGATGAGCAACTGGGAGGAAAAATCCCCCTCAAGAAGATACCAAGGACTCTTCAGGAAGGTTCCACGGCTTGTTTCGGTGGAAAGTTTCAAATCTTCATGAGCCGGCTAGGATTTAAGCCTTTTTTTTCCACTAACAAACTGAAGTGGGGGCCACTGAGCGATCAACCCAAAGTGGCATTTGACGGACGCTCTTCTAACCAGCTCCACAGCTCCGCCAGCCTCTCCTGCTTTGCTGCCCCTTTGCTCAGAGGCCGCTGCTTCTTCTAATCTCTATCACCCAAGGCGATTGACATCTGTAACAAGGTCTTCTCCCCTACACCCTAAAAGTGCAATAAAACTATTTTTGAAGAAAAAAAACAAAAACAAAAGCACAAGCGTGCTGTTTGTGCAAAGAGAAACAAAATAAATACATGATTTTTTTTAAAAAAATGTTCACAGTATCACATACAGATAAGAGAGCTACAGTAGTGCACTTTGGGAATAAAGAGAGGGGGGAGAGAGAGAGGGGGGGAGGGGAAAAAAGAGAGGTGGCGACCCAGGATCGAATTCCTCCTGACCTCTGATGTCTCTGGGGCCAAGATCAGTTTGTGGGTAACTGCTTTGAGAGGTATTAATATACACGTTTTGGAGAAAGGACGGTGGGAGGAAGGAGATGGGACTTGGGGCGGTTTTGCTTTGACTTTCCGGGTAACGCTGGGATGCTGAAGCACAGCCGACGTTGATGCACGACATTCTTCCACGCCTTCCCTCCGAAAAGCTGCAAGGAACATCGAAAGGGACCACCGCAAATGGCGTCAGGAGGAACCCTTCTCTCGAGGCGTCTGCATAGAAGTTACTGCAGGGGGGAAGGAGAAAGACAAAAGGGAGAGAGGACAGCATTTAGAAGAAGAGCCCAATCCAAAGGAATGGATTTAATCTCCCTGGATTTATGCTTGGGAGACGGGAGAACTGGAAGATTTAAATGGATATTGAGCAATTACAGAGAAGGGTTAGGTGTCAATTGAAAATCTAGTCTGTCTCTGAATTATCAATCATTTATTCTGGAATTGGCTTGCACCCGGAAAGACCCCAGGATGTGACTCGGCCGGCATACTGTAATAATTTACTGCTAATTTTCCCCCTCAACAACAGTCTTGTGAGGCCAACCTGGGCTGAGAGACGGGGACTAGCTTATAGTCACCCAGCCAGCTTTCATGCCTAAGGCGGGACTAGAACTCACTGTCTCCTGCTCATTGGCCAAAGTCATCCAGTTGGCTTTTATGCCTAAGCAGAACTGGAACTCACTTGTCTCCTGATTTCTAGCTTGGGGCCTTAACAACTGGATCAATTATTCTATTTCTGCCCTAGAGTTTAAAATCAAAAGTTTTGTTTCTCCCGAGTCAACAGACTTTGGGCCATTCCTTCAAGACGGTATGAAGGCAGCTGGGATCTACTGACATCATCCTTCTCGTGAGTCTGAGAACAGCTTGCTTGAGACACCAGCCTCCTTTCTCTCACCACCGCCTTGATGTATCAGCACAGATGGGGATCTACTGGATGGACAACGTGGGGTTGTCCTTAAGGTGCCCACAGTATGAACATGCCTTGACAGAACTTTTTTAAAAACTCCTGATAGGACTAAGAGGCCGTAGTAGGGTAATGTTTCTCAACCTTGGCAATTTTAAGACGTGTGGACTTCAACTCCCAGAATTCCTGTCTGCCATGCTGGCTGAAGCATTCTGGGACTTGACGTCTCCACACATCTTAAAAGTTATCAAGGTTGAGAAACACTGCCTTAGGGCGCAGAAGATGCCCTCTGTCCTGCCCAAGTGCTTTATTCAGAAGTACAAAAATGAGCCGTCCGGGCAACTGCGACATTCTAGTCTCCATAGCCGCTTTGTGTCCAATCAAGTTCCAATTCCTTTCTGGGGAAGTCTAAGAGGAAATGGGGAATTGTGAAAACCAGCACCATCTTTTGAGGGGCATCAACCTGCAGATACTGGAAGCTTCCCGACATCGCTCAGGATGAGCTTGCAGTGCAACTCGCTGGCAAGGATGGACTGTGCCACAATTGTTGTTTCCTTCTTAAAAATGAAACGAAACAAACAAACAAAAAAAAAACCCCGAACAGGCATGAACACAAACTTACTGTATCACTCTCTTCGTCAGAGACTGACTGGATTTGAGTGTTATAGTGGAGAGGAGAATAGACCCAGCTCCTCTCGTCTGTCGGCTGGCGGACAGCAAAGCAGAGAGCAAAAGAAGCAGCAGAGGGCAGGGAGGAGAGTAAAATAAAAAGAGGAAAGAAAAAAAGAGAGAAAAAGAGAGAGATGAAAGCTACAACACCAACGAGAAAAACTACATGATTGGAGGGAGAAAAAGAAACACAAGGGCAGAGCTCAGCTTTCACGCAGAAGTATCAGCTCAATGTCAATGTCATCCATGTCAGCTCAGGTGAGAATCACTGTGCTGAGGAGTTTGGTTCCCTTAAAACTCAGCTTTTCAATAGCAATAGCACTATTCGACTTATAACAGGTAGTCCTCGACTTACAATAGTTCATTTAGTGACCACTCAAAAGTTACAACGGCATTGAAAAAAGGGACTCATGCCGTTTTTCACACTTACGACCTTTGCCGCCTCTCCATGGTCACAAGTGGCTCATATTTACAATGGTTGCAGTGCCCTGGAGATCACACGATCCCCTTGCAATCTTCTGACAAGCAAAGTCAGGAGGGGGGGATCCATATTCAGTTAACAACCGTGTTACTACAGTAGTGGCCAAAATTGTGGAAACCTTTTGGGAAAAGTGTACAGTAGAAACGCCACCTTTGGTTAAGTTTCCACCAATTTTTCTTCTAATTTCTTTATAACTGTAGCCTTGTTCACTTAATAATTCTATTTTACATTGCTTTCTGGATGACCAGTCAACTCTTTGCACTATTACTTTAATTTTATTACGTTTTACAAGCTCACTAAACGAAAGAACACAAAAAAACCCAACCAACTTGATAGCGATCACATCACACACTGACCAATGTTCTCCTCTCAGCTTCAATACGTGACATCAATAACTGAATCTTACCATGATCTGATTGGCTCATTGCCAAAACAAGATGAAACCTGATTGGCTCTCTAAACAGTCATGCTCATTGGCTACAATCAGATGAAGGAAAGCTACTTGCTATTGACCTAAGCAAGTTGTGCTTCCTTTTTCTGGTTATTTGGCTATAACCTTTCATAGAATACAGTACAGATAATTGAACAAACTATGTCACATTACATTCTTGATTAAATTATCTTTCCACTGATATATAATTTTATGGTACTACTCCCCCCCAAAAAAAGTGGTGTTATTAGCCATCAAACCTCAAAAATACACTTTTCCCAAAAGGTTTCCACAATTTTGGCCACTACTGTAATTTAACAAATGCAATCATTGACTTAAGAACCGTGACAGGAAAAGTCGTAAAATGGGACAAGACTCATTAAACAAATGTTTCACACAGCAACATAAATTTTGGGCTCAACTGTGCTCGTAATTCGAGGACTACCTGCATACGGCTTCACAGTGCTTTACAGCCCTCTCTGAGTGGTGTACAGAGTCAGCCTCTTGCCCCCAACAATCTGGGTCCTCATTTTACGGATCTCGGAAGGATGGAAGGCTGAGTCAACCTTGAGCTGGTCAGAATCAAACTGCTGGCAGTGAGCAAAGCCTGCAATACCGCATTTTAACCACTGCGCTACCAGGGCTCTTAAACTAGGAATATGCAACCAGTGGCCGCGGGATTGTCAATCTCTTTTTGATGGATTCATAGAACCCCATCAAACCATCACTGTTAAAAATCTGCACTTCAGTACTTTTCCAGGTGGGAAAGATGCTACCTATGGTTGAAAAGCAAAGGAAGATACTGTGGAGTTCCTGGTGCTCTCTCAGCTTGGTTGCTTGCTTGTGGACGTTTCATTGCCCAACTAGGTAACATCTTCAGGATGAGGAATTATGGGGTTTGCACCCTGTTTATATACAGATAGTCCTTGACTTACAATTATTTGTTTAGTGGCTGTTCAGAACTTACAATGTCACTGACAATAGCAGCCTGCAACTCAGTCTTCACAACCCAATGGTCCCATGATCAAAACTTGAGTGCTTGGCAACCGGAGTGTATTTGTGAGGGTTGCGGTGTCCCAGGGCCATTTGTGACCTTCCCAGCTGGTTTCCAACAAGCAAAGTCAAAGGGGGAAAATGGATTTGCTTAGTGTCTGCATCATTTACTTAAGTGCAGCGATCTGATTAACCACTATTGCAAAAAAGGTAAACTCGCTTAACAACCATCTTGCTTAGCAATGGAAATTGTGATCTCAAGTATGGTCGTAAGTCGAGGACTGCTTGTAGTTCCTTGATTAGGGTATTGTTTTGCACCTGAGGAAATTTCTGCTTAAAGGACTTTAATCAATGCTTGTCTGGGAAATGTACAATTCTATAAAGTGTTTGATTTTTTTTAAAAGACATTTTTAAATATACAAATTGTAAGCATCTCAAACTTTTGATTATCAGCCACTTGGACTATGGTAAGGTGGAGATGCCTGTGGAGAAGAGCCAGAAGCTAAAGCAGGTACAAAAGACAGTGGTGTTTTACTGGTGTTTCCCACCAGTGAATAATAATACCAGCGTGCCTGGCTGAGGAATTCTGGGAGTTGAAGTCCACAAGTCATAAAAGGACCAAGTTTGAAGACCCCTGAACAATACTAATGCTAGCCTGAATGCTTCCAGGCCAAAAACTAATTATTAAAACTTTTTATGGCCCGGCATTGGGATTTATCCCCAAATTAAAATGGAAAGCAAACTTCAATTACATTTCAACTAGGTTAAGAGTTTAGCTAAATTCTTGGCTTAACGGCCCACGATTCACCTAACAACTGCCCCAATTTGCTATAATAGAATAACAGAGTTGGAAAAGACCCTGGAGGTCTTCTAGTCCAATCCCCTGCTTGAGCAGGAGAGCCTATACCAGGGGTAGGTAACCTTGGCTCTTTTATGACTTGTGGACTTCAATTCCCAGAATTCCTGAGCCAGCATAGCTCACCTTGGAAACCTCTCCCTTTCTCCTCAGCATGGCTGGCTCAGGAATTCTGAGAGTTGAAGTCGAGTCATAAAAGAACCAAGGTTACCTATACCAATTCAGCTAGGTGGCTGTCCAGTCTTTTCTTAAAAATCTCCAGTGATGGAGCTCCCACAACTTCTGGAGGCAAGCCATTCCACTGGTTTATTGTTCTCAATGTCAGGAAGTTTCTCCTTAGTTCCAGGTTGCTTCTCTCCTTGATTAGTTTCCATCCGTTGCTTCTTGTCCTGCCCTCAGGTGCTTTGGAGAATAGGTTGACCCCCCTCTTCCTTGTGGCAAGCCCTTAGATATTGGAACACTGCTATCGTGTCACCCCTAGTCCTTCTTTCCACTAGACTAGACCATACCCAATTCCTGCAATTGTTCTTCGTATGTTTTAGCCTCCGCTCCCCATGTCATCTTTGATGCTCTTCTCTGCACTCTTTCCAGAGTCTCAACATCTTTTTTATATCGTGGCGACCACAACTGGAGGCAGTATTTCAGCCAGAAATGTCCAATTTTCGAAGGAGGGCCATCGAACCCCTGGCATTCAAAGGAAGTAGAAGTCCAAAGCCAGAAATGCAAAGGCTGCTTTGGGGGATTTCAAGAATGCTGGGAAGGAAAAAAAACCAGGCCAAGTCTAGTGAATGGCCACTGTCCCTGCCCATCCCTTGTCCCATCCCTTGCAGCATGTCCTACCTCAACAGAACAACAGAAGAGGCCTAGAAAGCAAACCAGGGGGAACACAGAGCTTCTTCTACCTACAACACCACAATGGAGGAGAGAGAACTTTGAATTGCCAAAGGGGGAGGTGTAAAATCAAATCTTTCCTCATGCTCTTTTTAAAAAGCCATTCTCCTCTAACAGTGAAAGCTATTTTTGCATACTATTCAAAATATCCCTTCTTGCCAGCAGGCTGTATTACATTTGTATCAGGCTTGCTGACTGGGAATTTGGACCCTGAGAATTAACACACCTAGAAGGAGAAAACCCAAGTTAGGGAAGGTGGCTTGATACCTGTAGTAAGGTAACACCGAAGACCCAACCTTGGTTAGTTAAGAGCAAGGAAGATCAGCGGCATTGAAAGACTAAGCTATGGATTAGGAACGGCTGTTGCCATCCTTGCTGGCTGTTAATTTAATATTGTGTTTAAAATGTTTCCATGCCACCAGATTGGAAGAAATCTTGAGACAGGGCAGAATAACCCCTAAATCATGCCGTTGTCCAACGAAACCCAAATGTGCCTTATGAAAACAGAAAGGCTGGTGGCCTCAAAGCAACTCCCCCCCCTTTTTTTTCCTGAAACAGAGGAAGATCCTAAGATTCTTCTTATGCTCAGCTAGCAGTGGGCTGTGCCAAGTAAGCCTAGGCACAACGATGGCAAACCCATTAACACCTGGGTCAAAAGTGACACAACGCTACGACGTTTTAGTTTGGTTTTTTTGTTTTCATTTAGCATCTGGCGATGTTACATTATTAGCCAGGAGACTACAGTGCTTAATGCGGAGTAGTACTTTGGCTGCCTAAGAATGTTTGGCAACACACCAGCGTTCAACAATCGCCAACAACAACTGTTCCGTTTCTCGCGTGATTTTTGGAGGTCCCCGCAAGAGTGGGATGTGCCCTCTCGCGCAGCCCCTGAAAATCATGCGAGAACGAGGTGTGTTTTTAACAGGTTGCAGAGGCTGTGGAAGAGCATTCCCTCGTGCTGCTTCCACAAGGAAAGACTTGTGCAACCCGCAGCAGCCTCCCGTAGGCCGCAAGGGCCTGTCAGCGGAAAGAGGACACCGCCTGGAGGTAAGCGGGGCGCAGCAGAACTTGGGGGGCGCTGGGCTGCAGAGGCAATCACAGTGTTCCCCAAGCCTCGTGCATCTTGGGGAACGGTGCAAGGCAGACTTTTTGAGTGGCAGCTGTGGCACTAGGGCTAAAGTTGTAGTCCAGGCCAATCCTCCAGGCCCAGCCTTGGTGCTGCCACTGTTCAGGGCAGCCTAGATGGGTGGGGAGATAAAAGAGTTGGTTCTCTTCTGTTCAGAAGTGGTGGCGGAGGTGCGATACGCCAGCAGAGACATTTTCCAAATATCTGACACACCGAGTCGAAAAGGTTCGCCCTCACTGGCCCGGCAGGAGCCCAGATGCCTTGCCCCAAAGTTGGCATTTCAAAATTGGGATGGAGCTGCCCTTTTCTACCAGCAAAATCACTTACGTCCCCAGAGGAAACCGAGGCGGCTCGGAGCCTGCGCAGGCAGGGGGAGTAAATCCAGTATTTTCCTTCTGTGAACTAGACCGGGCACATCCAAAGGCGAATGAGAGGGGAGCAGGGAAAGGAGGGGGGGCGGAAGAAAGGAAAAAAAAAAAAGGAAGGAGAGGAGAAAGGATGAATGAAAGATAAGAAACGATTGTGTCGGTGGAAAAGGTAAGCGTGCACACAAGCATGAGAGGACAACTCGGTGAAGAAAACATGCTTGGAAACAGGTGGATGTTGTGAGAACTCGGCTGCCGTGGAAGAAAATAATGTATTTCTGCTGCCAGGGCCTTTCTCGGCCTCTTTCCACGGAGGGCCAAGATACTCTGCATTTCGCAAGCTTTTTAAAGGTCTGGGTGAAGTCATGCTAGGGAATCATTTGCAGAGGACTTTCTGCTCCTGCTGTGGAGTTGTGTCTTTGGAGGGACAAAGAAACAACGGTCCAGTGGACACGGAACCACAGAAAGGGGTGTGTGTGAAAAAATAAGCCCTGACTCGCTTGATTGACACAGCAAATCCAGGAACGCTAGGTGCAAACACGGGGAGACGTGCACATGCAAAAAGTAAAGTGGACAGTTAATGAACCGCCCACACCAGGCAATATTTACCAGGCTTCTCTTCTGCTCTGGCCTTTGAAATATCAACGTATAATCTAGCACGAACGTGCGTAGCTATTGCTCCAAAACACTAACAGGTAGTCCTCGACTTACAATCACCGTTGGGACCAACATTTCCACTGCTAAGCAAGGCAGTTAAAAGAGAGTGGCGCCCGGTTTTACAACCTGTTTTGTCCCGATTGTTAAGGGAATCACGTGGATATGAAGCGAATCCAGCTTCCCCCATTGACTTTGCTCAGGAGAAGCCAGCTAGGAAAGTCGTGAATGGGGATCACATGACTCCACATTGTAAATACACGCCGGTTGCCAAGCGCCCGACTTATTGATCCCAGGACTCTGGGGATGCTACGATGGTCATTAAGGGCAAGGACTGGTCATTACGTTCCTTTTTTGGTGCCGTTATAACTTTGAATGGTCACTGAATGAATGGTTGCAAGTCGAGGATTACTTGTAAGGCAGGGGTCTGCGGCCTTGACAACTTTTAAGACTTGTGGACTTCAGCTCCCAGAATTCCTCAGCCAGCGTGCCTGGCTGAGGAATTCTGGGAGTTGAAGTCCACAAGTCATAAAAGGGCCAAGTTTGAAGACCCCTGAACAATACTAATGCTAGCCTGAATGCTTCCAGGCCAAAAACTAATTATTAAAACTTTTTATGGCACGGCATTGGGATTTATCCCCAAATTAAAATGGAAAGCAAACTTCCAATTACATTTCAACTAGGTTAAGAGTTTAGCTAAATTCTTGGCTTAACGGCCCACGATTCACTTAACAACTGCCGTGACTTGCTTAAGCGTAGCAAAAAGGTAGTAAAAATGAAGCGGCCTTGCTTAGCAATAGAAATGTTGGGCCTAATTGTGGTCGTAAGTCGAGAACCACCTCTATTGTCCTAAGATCAATCCAATGAAGTTGTGCAAGAAAAGTGCCCATCTCCTCCGCTTATCTAAGGATTACCTGTAAGGCAGGGGTCTGTGGCCTTGACAACTTTAAGACTTGTGGACTTCAGCTCCCAGAATTCCTCAGCCAGCACAGCTGGCTGAGGAATTCTGGGAGCTGAAGTCCACAAGTCTTAAAGTTGTCAAGGCCACAGACCCCTGCTGTAAGGCATTCAGCTATAATAATCATTTCAGGCGGGGGGGGGTGGGTGGGTTTGCTTCTCGGGATTAACAAAGTAGGTAATGCAAACATTAACACATAAGGTCAAGGTACTTAAATCAGCCGTGTTTCCCCTGGATTCCATATTTTTTTCCCTCTTAAAGCGTCTATGTGAAAAACTCTGCACGTTAAGAAATCAAAACTCTCAATCAGATCTGGGAATAAAAATACCCAGGAACTATACAAGGCTACACTAGGAAACCAATTCCTGAAATGGGTGGGCGAGGGAGAACGAGGGGAGAACTAACATGCCTCAAACAAAAGTCAGATGCAAAGCTTCTTCACATGCGTTTCCGATTCACATGCATTTGAAATCATCCTTCACAGGGCAACTCTTCCTGCAAGCTGGTGGGAGAAGGGATAAAAAGAAGGAGGAAGTGAAATGGGAAGAGGGAGGTAGCCTTAGCCAGAGTTAAGACCAAAGGGGTAAGGTCTGTTTTAAGGAAGATGGCGGGTGGGCACTGTCTTGTAGCCTAACCGCATGATTGCTTTAAGCCAGTGGTTCTCAACCTTTTTAATGCCGCGACCCCCAACTGGTGGTAAATCGAGGACTACTCAACCGGTCGTAAGTCAAGGACTACTCAACTGGTACAGCACCGTTTGCAGAATGGGACTTTTGGCGGGCTCAGCAGGGCAGAGACAGCCTGGACAATTCCTATTGGCTTTTGAAAGCCAATAGAATTAGACTCTATTCAAGAGAGTCTATTCTATTGGCTTTCAAAAGCCAATAGAATAAAAGGGAGTAGCACAGCTAAGGAAAAGGGGGAAAAAAATGGCGGACTGCGTTGTTTGGCGACCCCTGTGAAATGGTCGTTCGACCCCAAATGGGGTCCCGACCCACAGGTTGAGAACCACTGCTTTAAACACAATGGGACCAAGTTGTTTGAAGAACTCTCTTTCCGTATCCATCTGACCCACCAGGATGTGGAGGCAGGATATGCTATGGGTCCCCTCTCCTAAGGATATCTATTTAGTTGCAGGGGTGGGCAACTATGGCTCCTTTAGGATGTGTGGCTCAGGAACTCTGGGAATTGAAGTCCACAGGTTGTAAAGGGCCCACAGCTGCCCATTTCTGATCTAGTGGGACCAGGAAAAAGGGTTTTCTCCGTGGTGGCTCCCTCCCTGTGGAACATCATCCCTGCGGAGATAAGATTGGCCTCCACCTTGACACTCTTTCAAAAGGCCCTGAAGACATGGTTTTGGCAACCTCGGCTCTTTTATGACTCGTGGACTTCAACTCCCAGAATTCCTGAGTCAGCCATGCTGACTCAGGAATTCTGGGAGTTGAAGTCCACGAGTCATAAAAGAGCCGAGGTTGCCTATTTCATACCAAACACATCAAGTGGTTTGTTTGATTGTTGGGGGAGGGGGAGTTTACTGGGTTTTGTATTGGGAGTTATTTCTGTAAGCTGCTCAGAGACGCTGTGAGTGAGTTGGGCAGCCATATAATTTTTCTGAATAAATCAAATAAAAGAAAGAGTAACTCTATAGCAGACATGTCAAACTCGCGACGTCACGTGTCGTCACGTGATGTATTGGGACTGTTTTACAACTGCCGTCAATGGGGTGGGCACGGCTTCCGCATGACGCGTCTGGCCCACGGGCCAGCAGTTTGACACCCCTGCTCTACAGTAGTGGCCAAAATTGTGGAAACCTTTTGGGAAAAGTGTACCTTTGAGGTTTGATGGCTAATAACACCACTTTATTTTGGAGTAGTACCATAAAATTATATATCAATGGAAAGATAATTTAAGTCAAGGAGGTAATGCAACAAAGCTTGTTCAATTATCTGTATTCTATGAAAGGTTATAGCCAAATAACCAGAAAAAGGAAGCACAACTTGTTTAGGTTGATATCAGGTAGCTTTCCTTCCTCTGATTGTAGCCAATGAGCATGACTGTTTAGAGAGCCAATCAGGTGTCATCTTGTTTTGGCAATGAGCCAATCAGATCACAATAGGATTCAGTTATTGATGTCATGTATTGAAGCGGAGAGGAGGACATTTGTCAGTGTGTTATGTGATCGCTGTCAAGTTGGTTGGGTTTTTTTGTGTTCTTTCATTTAGTGACTGCTCTTTAGAAGGCCAGATCCTGAAGTTGAAACTGAAGTACTTTGGCCACCTAATGAGAAGGAAGGACTCACTGGAGAAGAGCCTAATGCTGGGAAAGATGGAAGGCAATAGAAGAAGAAGGGGACGACAGAGGATGAGGTGGCTGGATGGAGTCACTGAAGCAGGAGGCGTGAGCTTAAATGCACTCCAGAAGATGGTAGAGAACGCCTGGAGGAACATTGTCCATGGGGGTCGCGATGGGTCGGATACGACTTCGCAACTAACAACAACATTTAGTGAGCTTGTAAAGCGTAATAAAATTAAAGTAATGGTGCAAAGAAAAGTGGTGTTATTAGCCATCAAACCTCAAATGCACACTTTTCTCAAAAGGTTTCCACAAGTTTGGCCAGTACTGTATAGGAATGCTTAGGACAGACTACAGAAAGCCGAAACGCCAGCAGATGGCAGCAAAGATGTTTCTGCCCCTCTGGGGGAAGAGAGGCAACTGCACTCTGCAAACCTTTAAAGCAGGGTTCTTCAAACTTGGCCCTTTTATGACTTGTGGACTTCAACTCCCAGAATTCCTCAGCCAGGCAGAGTTGAAGTCCACAAGTCATAAAAGGGCCAAGTTTGAAGAGCCCTGCTTTAAAGGGATGTTACACAGGATGACGTTTCTCAATTGAGGTCCACACAGTTAAAGCTGCTGAAACGTCAAGCTGACATTTAGAAGGCAGCAATGATTTAAAAGCTTTGTTGGTCCAGGGTGCCGGAAAGAGGTTTATGAAGAGACTGCAAGAGAACATTAGAAGAATAGTCTATTAAAAAGTGCAATTTGATTATTAGCTGGGGGATAGGTGAACTTCACCCTGCAAGTTGCTGCTACGTCTTAGGGATACAGGTAGTCCTCGACTTACAACCATTCATTTAGTGACCGTTCAAAGTTACAACAGCACTGGAAAGTTTTCACATGGCCATTGCAGCATCCCCACGGTCGTGTAAATAAAAATTTGGGCACTTGGAAACTGCCACGTGTTTACGACAGTTGCACTATTCCTTGGGTCTCGTGACCACCATTGGTAACCTTCTGACAAGCAAAGTCAGTAGGGGAAGCCAGATCCAGTTAATGACCGCCTGGTTCACTTAACAACCGCAGTGATTTACTTGACAACGGTGGCAAAACAGCTTACAAAATGGAGCAAAAACTCGTTTAACAATTGTCTTGCTTAGCAACGGCCATTTTGGGCTCAACTGTAGTCATAAATTGAGGACTACCTGCGCTCTGGCTTTAATCAAAGGCTAGACAGGCCTTGAGTAAAACAAACATTCCCACTGAAATTCACTGCATTACCTTTTATCCAAGAGACTCCCGCTTGACTTCGAAGAAGACTTAACAAGATAGGACACTGGGTTCTGGGAAAGATGGAAGGTCTCCTTAACACAATTTTGAGATTTCACACCCACAGAATCTAGCATAGCATGGTTGCACACACCACACACACACACACACTCCTTGGCTCACTTACTCCCTGCTCTGCCTCCCTAGATTTCCTCCTCCGAACACGTTCCTGCCTGCAGGGAAAGGAAAGGCCATTCACAAATGCATCCGAGAGCCGTGAAGAAGCCCAGAGAGGGCCACATTTCTACCTATTTCAAGGCAATCTCAAGATTTTTCCTGGCAGAGATTTTTCCAGTTGGTTTCTTTTGGCAACCTGGCAGGAAAAAAGTGTGTGAATGCAAAGGGATGAATGTGCATCGAGGTGACAGGACAAGACAATACCTTGGCGCAGGTGTGTTGGCTCGTTTCAAGTCTTCAGGCGGGGAGGGCGGAACAAGTGAAGCTGAAAAGCAAGGGAAGGAAGGAGGGAAGAGCCAAACCAACTGCAGCTTTGTGCACAAAAGGAAAAAGGGAGGGGGGGGGCTTACAAAATAGATATCCGGGATTGCAAGGTCCTCTTCATCTGAAGCTTGGCTGGCAGGCTCGGAGGCCTGGCTTGCTGTCTCAACTTCCGCCGCCGCTGCTGCCGACAACATGGTGGCACACGCTAAGGACGCCGCCTCTCTGCAAAGAAGGGAGATGGGTGAGGATGGGGGCGGTGGCAGTTTGGACTTTGTCTGACAAAAGCGTGACAAGATCCCAAATCCCAGGGGTGTCAAACTCAATTTTATTGAGGGCCGCATCAGCATTGCGGTTGCCCCCGGGGTGTGTGTGTGTGGCCAGGGTGGCTGCAGCCTACTGGGTGGGCGTGGATGGAGTGGGTGTGGCCTACTGGGTGGGCATGGTGACTGTGGGGCCCTGGGCAGGAGTGAGACAGATCTGAGGGTCTCTGGCAGAAGGGGATGGGACCGGGGCAAGTGCCAAGGCATGATCCATTTCTTCATTCCTCACAAAGAGTGACACCTCCCCAGCATGCACCCAGGGGGCAGGGCCGACATGACAGGAGCTGGTTCCTCGCTGTTTCTGGACAGCCTTGTGGAGCTAAGACTGAATGCGTTTCTTCATAGATGGCCACCACAAAATTCTACATTGGCGCCCGGCCAGCCTGGGCCAGGGCCAAGGCAGCAGGGGCCGTTCCCTCGTTGTTTCCAGGATGGCTTCGCGGGCCTACATGAAACCATTTCGCGGGCTGCATCCGGGCCCCGGGCCTTGTGTTTGACATGTCTGCCATATCCACTGGGAAACCCCAGAAGCAGGGAAAAATCCCAAGACCACATGTCCAAATTGGCTCGGATCACTGGCGGAACAGCAATGCTATGATTGGATGACTGCAGCGCATTCTGGATGGAGGGGACCGGCCTTTGCAAAGCATTCGGAAGCTCCGACTGGTGCAGAGCCAGGATAGTTAATGGAGGTGGTTATCTGGCACATGTAGCCAGCCGCTACGCAAGGAGCTAGCCCTGGTTGCCAGCATGCTTCCGGGTGCAATTCAAGGAGCTCCCTGTCATTTTGAAACTCCTTCCCGGCTTGGGACGAGGTTGCTCCGTGAGGGATTGTTTCTCCCAGTTGTTTCTATCCATGCAATATGGTCAAGCAAGATGGACCTGCTTGGATATGCAAGTGGGCTCACATTCCTCAGCTGAGGAATGGCTGGCGGGTGGGGACTTACAGACATGCCTTTTCCACTATCGCGCCCTCCCTGTAAAATGTTCTCCCTCTGGAAGAGCCCAATCCTGCTGGCCTTTTGCAAAGCCCTGAAAGAACTGGCTCTGGGTCTATGATTCCAAGTGTGTGCAGGCACCAGTTTGATTTTGGGGGGGGGGGTGTTTGCACTAGTGTTTATGGCAGGGGGTATTCAAACCTGGTCTTTATGACTTGTGGACTTCAACTCCCAGAATTCCTCAGCCAGGCACGCTGGCTGAGGGATTCTGGGAGTTGAAGTCCACGAGTCATAAAAGGGCCAAGCTTTGAAGACCCCTGGTTTATGGGATATTTTATTGATTTATTTAACATAGCCAGCCTTTATTATAAACAGCTCAAGGTGGCAAACATATCTAATATTCCTCCCTCTTCCTATTTTCCCCACAACAACCACCCTGTGAGGTGGATTGGGCTGAGAGACAAGTGTGGCTCCAAGTCAGCCAGCTAACTTTCGTGCCTAAGGCGGGACTAGAACTCACAATCTCCTGCTGATTGACCCAAAGTCGCCTAACTGGCTTTCATACCTAAGGCGGGACTCGAACTCACTGTCTCCTGCTTTCTAGCCTACTACCTTAGCACTAGACCAGGGGTTTTCAAACTTGGCCCTTTTATGACTTGTGGACTTCAACTCCCAGAGTTCCTCAGCCAGGCACGCGTGCCTGGCTGAGGAATTCTGGGAGTTGAAGTCCACAAGTCATAAAAGGGCCAAGTTTGAAGACCAATGCGCTGGCTGAGGAATTCTGGGAGTTGAAGTCCACAAGTCATAAAAGGGCCAAGTTTGAAGACCAATGCGCTGGCTGAGGAATTCTGGGAGTTGAAGTCCACAAGTCATAAAAGGGCCAAGTTTGAAGACCCCTGCACTAGACCAGCCTGGTTCTCTTAGGCGTATTAAATCTTGCAATTATTGCAATTGTTTTTACTTTAATTTTGTTTGCCACTCAGAGTCCTTCTTGAATTTGAATTAATAAATAAATACGGTTAACGTTTCTACTTTTGTGTGCTTAAACCTTTCAGGGAAGTGACTGATCATCCCTTTGAAAAGGAGATGGAATTCATGCACTACACAGAATCCTAGTTTGATTAACGAGGTCCTGCAGTAAAGGAACCCAAACGGGCTGGATCCTTAAATGTACCCAGCCATCCGTTGTGATTTACAACTGCAACAGCTGAGCTCACACAACGGTACTATGCCAAAACTAAACAAACCGTACAACAGCTGAGCAGAAGGGTGAAACACGCCTGTAGGAACTGGGTGTGTGCGTGTCAAACTGAATTATGTGTCATTTTAATAGCACAAGACTGTTTGTGTATCATCCAATTTTTGGCAAGACGGCCCACAGCAGATGGAAAGAAAGGAAGCCATCCACCATTCAGACTTGGTTTCTATGGATAGTAGATACAGAATGGAAAGATGTATTGCACCATCCTTGGATCGTGTATAGAAGGAAAGTTATTTTTAAATTAAATCCCAAGTGGTTTTTCAGCCAATTATTTGCCTTCTACATGTTCCCTCTGCCATAGGGGGAAAAGGATTGCAATTTGGGAGTTATTTCTTGAAATATTGAGGAGAATCCAGAGCTCGTTCCCCATCTACCATAGAAAGATGTCTCCCGAATAATGTTTGGATATTGCATGCATTAAAAAGGAGTGTGAAGGCATGTATGGATGAAAACAGCTGTGCTGTAACATAAAGAGGCTCTAACCCTGCAGCAGCCACATCAGGCACCACAATCTCAATATCACACTTCGGCTTGAGCTCCACAGTTATCTGCTGGAGGTCATCTTCCGCTCGGACCTGTTCACGAGTCCTGTAGAATAGGAAAAAATAACCCACTTCACAAATCTAGTACGGGCGGTCCTGACTTACGATCGGTAGCTCTGTGACCGTTCGAACATCCAACAGACACCCCCTCCACCCCAAAGCTACTGATGACTAGATTCAAACCTCCAAGGGCCATCCACTCACTCCTACCCAGGGTCACATGATCCCAGTTTGGCACTCGGCAACTAGCTAGCATTTGCAACTGGTTTGCAGCACTCATGGTCACGTGACTGCAATTTATGATGCTTTTGCTGGAAATCAGCATTTACTTTGGCGAGTTAGCTGGCGAATTCTGGGAGGTGAAGTGCACACTTTCTTAAAGTTGCCATGGTTGAGAAACACTGTTCTAGGATATTGCTCTCTTTTTTCAGCATTCCCTGCTAAAAAAGAGTCTTTTCATTGAAGATAACTTTCTAGGTAAAAGCTATAGTCTGCCAGTCAGTAATGACACCACCCCCCCCCCGCACCCTTAACCAACAACCCTGAGGGAGATGGGCGATTCAAAACTGTGAAAAATAAATAAATAACAACCCAACTTAGCTAATTATCTGTATTAGGTAGGATCAGTTATGACATTTCATTCCTGTAAGTATGGAGATGGTAAAGCATTAGAGATCTGCGGGCCTATTAATATAAGAATGTTAGTCTATGAGGCCTCGTACATGAGAGTTACAAAGAATAAAAGAATTGCTGGGATTGGGTATGTCTAGTTTAATGAAGAGAAGGATGAGGGGGGACATGATATCTCAGGGGCTGCCACAAAGAAGAGGGAGTCAAGCACCTTAAGGCAGGACAAGAAGCAATGCATGGAAACTAATCAAGGAGAGAAGCAACCTAGAGCTAAGGAGAAACTTCCTGACAGTGAGAACAATTAATCAGTGGAACAATCTGCCTCCAGAAGCGGTGAATGCTCCAACACTGGAAGTTTTTAAGAAGAGACTGGACAGCCATTTGTCCAAAATGGTATAGGGCAGGGGTAGGCAACCGTGGCTCTTTTATGACTCGTGGACTTCAACTCCCAGAATTCCTGAGCCAGCACGGCTCAGCTTGGAAACCTCTCCCTTCCCCTCAGCGTGGCTGGCTCAGGAATTCTGGGAGTTGAAGTCCACAAGTCATAAAAGAGCCAAGGTTGCCTACCCCTGGTATAGGTTCTCCTGCCTGAGCAGGGGGTTGGACTAGATGACCTCCAAGGTCCCATCCAACTTTATTATTATTACTACTATTATTATTGCTGGACTTGCAATGGCACTGAGGGATTTCTAGAGAGGTAGCCAAGATGTGCAAAAGTATTCAACTCACCTTCCTTCGTGTCCTGAGGACTGTGTGCGCCGCCTGTGAAGGGACACCATGCAAAAAACATACTTCATGAGAATGACTAAAAATGTAGCAAACAGCACCTCCTTTCTCTCTTTCTCATCCAATGTAAGTCCCAAAGGTGCTTTTTTCAAGAGGCAACTGGACTGTTCTTGTTTTTCTTTGAGGACATTTCGCTTCTCTTCCCAGAAGCTTCTTCGGAGCTGAAAAAGCTAAAGAAGCTTCTCGGATGAGAAGCGAAAGGTCTTCAAAGAAAAACAAGGAAGTCACACATATGAAACTCTTCAAAGAACTTTGAGGCATTGTTTACCTTCAAGAGTCTTTATTCCAGCAGCAACACATCTGGCAAGTACATAGTCCAAGCCAAAATCTGACTTCCCCTCCCCTCAGCACATAGTATCAAAGCACAATTCCCTCCTCTAACTAACAGTCATAAATCACATTCTCCAATTAGTTTGAAATGCTGGCTTTCCACCCAGTTCTTCATCCCGCCATACCTTATCATCTCTTATTACAAACAACCTTGGTTCTCACCATTATACAGTGTTGTTTTGTCTAACTAATCTCCCATGCACATTCCTCCTCCTGCCCCCTCAGTATCATCTAATTCTAGCTCTAAAAGTAAAACAAAAGAGGATCAAGATCTTACTTTACCAAAAAATTATAGACCTATATCTCTTTTGAATGTAGATTATAAATTTTTTGCAAAAATTCTAGCTAATAGACTTATGATGGTATTGAATCAAGTGATACATACGGATCAAACAGGTTTTATAACTGGAAGATATATGAAGAATAATGTTAGACAAATTATTAATTTAATAGAATATTTGGACAAAAATAATCAGATTTCTGCAGGATTGATTTTTTTAGACGCTGAGAAAGCCTTTGATCAGTTAAATTGGCAATTTATGTTAAGACTGGTTGAAGAAATGAACTTTGGAGATAAAATTTTACAGGCTTTTCGGAGGTATTTATCAAAGACAATCAGCACAACTTATAGTTAATGGAGGTTTATCTGAAGTATTTCAAATTGAAAAGGGGACTAGACAGGGTTGCCCATTGTCTCCTTTGTTGTTTGTTTTAACGTTGGAAATTTTGTTGATAAAAATTCGTGAATCACCCAAAATAAAGGGAATAGAGATTAATAAAAATGATTATATATTAAGGGCTTTTGCAGATGATTTGGTTGTTACTTTGTCTCAACCAACTCATTCCGTAGTGGAGTTGTTACAATTGATAAATCAATTTGGACAAGTTTCCGGTTTTAAAGTTAATAATAATAAAACTAAAATATTACCAAAAAATATGGCTAATTTGGATAAGGATACTTTGATTAGATTGACAGGTTTTGAAGTTGTAAAAAACGTTAAATATTTGGGGGTATTTTTATCTGCTTCTAATGTAAAATTGTATAAAAATAATTATGAAAAGTTGTGGTTTAAAATACAGAAAGATTTGAATGATTGGAAAAAATTGCAATTATCTTTGTTGGGGAGAATTGCTGCGGTTAAAATGAATGTTTTGCCAAAGTTTCTTTTTTTGTTTCAAATGATACTTATTCTAAAAAAAGAGGTAAATTTAGAAGAATGGCAGAAAGGTATTAGTAATTTGGTGGAACATTCAAAGAATTTTTAATAGAAGGATAAAATTTACACCACAATTGTTTTTGTTAGGCATTATTGCTGATTGTGATGATAAAGAAATTATTTTAATGTTGAGTTTAATTACAGCGGCAAGGCTGCTGATAGAGCAATACTGGAAGGAGTTTTTGCCTACTTTAGAGGAATGGTTTCTTAAAGTTTCTTATTTATCTGAAATGGCAAAAATTTCGGCTTATTTGAAAGATCAATCGCAAGAGAAATATTTTTTGGTGTGGAAAAGATGGGTGAATTTTATACAGCATAAATATGAGATTAAAAAGTATTATTTAGTTTTTGAATAATTTATGTTTAAGGTAACGATTAGAACTATTGTTTTGTTTTGTTTTTATATATTGGAGTTAAAGTATTTAAAATTTTGTTTTTTGAATGTATTTATAATTGTTTGATGTTTATTTAAGTTGTAAGGTTTTTTCTAGTTTTTATTAACCCTGTATTCAGCTCTGGGAAGGAGGGGGGAGGGTGATAGGGGGGAAGGGGGTGGTGGGAGAGGGGGATTATTTTATTGTAAAACTGTAAAAACTTTCAATAAAAGTAAAACTTAAAGTGAAGGAAAATGGATACAATCTCCATATGTTGTCAAAGCAAGAACATCCGTTGACAGTTGCCTCTTGAAAAAGTACTTTCGGGATAACCGTGACCTGGATGACTGAGAATCTCCACAAACATCCAGTGTAAGGGCTCCTCCCCTTCTATGAAATAGCCTGAAGTGCCTCCACTTATGGCATTCTCAAGAGCCTTTCTGGAACTGAGTGGCATCTACATGGCAGGTAAAGGTCAAGATAAAAGTTTCCCCTGTCCAGTTGTGTCCGTCTGTCCGTTTCTTAGCCGAGAGAGCCAGCATTGTCTAAAGCAGGGGTTCTCAACCTTGGCAACTTTAAGACTTGTGGACTCCAACTCCCAGAATTCCTCAGCCAGCAAAGCTGAATTCTGGGAGTTGAAGTCCACAAGTCTTAAAGTTGCCAAGGTTGAGAACCCCTGGTCTAAAGACACTTCCATGTGGCTAGCATTAACTACATGCCAAGGTGCACAGAACGCTGTTACCTTTCCACCAAAGTCATATCTGTTTATCTACTGCTGACTTTCGAACTGCTGGGTGGGCAGGAGCTGGGGCAAGTGACGGGAGCTCAGCCTGTCCCGCAGCACTTGGGTCTCGAACCCAGGCTGTCAGCTTTTCAACGGCTGAGCCATTGCGCCCTCTTATATATGGCAGAGAAAAATAAATAAAGCAAATTTAAGTGGTGAACGCCTAGCTCAGTGGTGGCGAATCTATGGCACTGGTGCCAGAGGCGGCACTCAGAGCCCTCTCTGTGGGCACGCGCATTATCGCCCCAGTCCTAGGCCTTCAGCTGGTTTTTATAAAACCTTTTCGCTTAGGCCTCCGCCACCGTATGCAAAAAAAGGTTCAATCAATCAATTTCAATTTCTCGTGGGAAAAAAAAAAGATCTTGCAAAGTTGGAACTGATTGATTGAACTTTTTAGTCCCACCCAGTCTGCCGTTATCACTGCAGCCACACCCACCCAATGGGCCACGCCCACCGAATGGGCCACGCCCACCCGGCACCCGCCGATACATAAGTGGGTTTTGGGTTGCAGTTTGGGCACTTGGTCTCTAAAAGGTTCGCCATCACTGACCTAGCTTAAGACACCGGAATTCGATTGTGCGGTTATAGTGAACTGTATTATTCTATTATTTCTGCCCTTGTAATAAAGGCATTTTTATTACGGGACTATCTGTAAACCCCTCACAGTCCAACCAGATAAATCCCAGTGAATCAATCAATCAATCCATCCTCTCCAAGCTGATACTCCTACTGCCAATTCTTCCAATAGAAGGGGATCCAGAAGGGAGCCGTTTGCTTTCTGGATCTCTGAGACAACTTGAGATCACTTAAATCAGGGGTCTTCAAACTCGGTCCTTTTATGACTTGTGGACTTCGACTCCCAGAATTCCTCAGCCAGGCACGCGTGCCTGGCTGAGGAATTCTGGGAGTCGAAGTCCACATCATAAAAGGGCCGAGTTTGAAGACCCCTGAATTAAATTCTTGGGAGTACTGGCTAAAAGGGGGGGAAAGCAGGGCGAGAGGGATCTAATCAGGGCTCACCTGTATCGGGGCTGCTCGGAGGATTCGGAAGGAGATCTTTCCGGCACAGAAAGAGATGTGGAAGAGAGCGTGGTTGCTATAGAGGCTGTAGTTGCTTCTTCGAAAGAGGGAGGGGTGCAGGGAAGAAGATCAGGTCGGCCTGTTGTGTCCGTGATGAAGAGAAAGAAAGAAGAAAAAAAAGAAAGAATACTGAGGCTGCGGGGCGGAAAAAAAATCCGCACTCTTCTGGACCATGGCAAATGATCCTTGTACACCTGAAGAGTTCTGATCACATTATACAGAACAGGGAGCGTAACCAATTCATAATTTCATTTTTTAAAAAAACGGAAGCCATTTGTGGTCTTTCTTTGTTGCAGACAAAACAGAGAAACGTGAACGTCTGTTTCTGTTCAGGAAACCTGTTTCCCAATGAATCTTGCACACTCTTAAGAGGTTTTCGGGAGCGCATTAATATGAAATATTTAACTAGCATTCTAAAATGCACAAGATAATCTCTTTTCGGGCTTCAACATCGCCAACTTCTAAATCCTCCCTCAAAATCCATTTCTATAAATTATCTGTCTTTTATACATGCAAATGCAAACCGCAACTCCTAAGAGCAAAATGCATCAAATTAAAAAGAGAGAGAGAGATGGTTAGAAGAGAGATTTGCATAAGATTAGACAGAGCCCTGCAATAGAACCTCAATGTAGAAATTCCTTTCTTTCAATTGGCACTGCAAAGAACTAATTGGCAGAGTAAGGTTATCCTTACTCATTTCCCCTGTTTTTCAACCCCAGAACCCTGTCTTGGATAATATACAGATAATCCTCGGCTTACGACCATAACTGAGCCTGGAACTATAGTCACAGGTTGTTGTGGTCATATGTCAAGGTATCCTATGACCAGCTCTGATTTTTGGAACATTTTTTGGTTGTTAAATGAATCCATTTCCCCCGATGGGCATTTTTTTTGCTGGAAACCGAAAGTAAAAGCCACAAAACGGCAAAAGCATTTGCAAATCATAGTCATAGGAGGGTGCAAACAACCATAAAGGTGAGCCAGTTGTTAAAAACGCAAAATATGATTACATGACCATGGGGGGAGGACAGAGTGTATATGCCAGGGGTCTTCAAACTTGGTCCTTTTATGACTTGTGGACTTCAACTCCCAGAATTCTGGGAGTTGAAGTCCACAAGTCATAAAAGGGCCAAATTTGAAGACCCCTGGTGTATGCGGTAACTTCCAAAACAACTTGTACGTAATTTGGGGAAGGGAAGTTGCTCAAGTGGGCCAGCCGGACCTCATGCCACTAAAATGCCTTGAAGAAAATTAACTCCCAGAATTCCAAGCCAGAATCACTTTGGACTGCTTATCCAGAGGGCCTTAAATTGGGGAAGAATGCCTTTAGATCAGAGCTCTCCAACCGTGGCAACTTTTAAGACTTGTGGACTTCAATTCCCAGAATTCTCCCGGAATTCCCTCACTAGCCCCGCTGGCTGGGGAATTCTGGGAACTGAAGTCCACAAATCTTAAAAATTGCCGAAGTTGAGCCTTAAGTTGTAAGCCTTCTGTTAAAAGTGCTGGGACACATTTCTGCTGCCAACATTCCCACAGCGTTGTTTGGGAAACCAAGCAGAATCGTCTTTTGCAAGTCACGTGCAGGAAGGGTTTTTTGTTTTTTTTTTTTTACAAAAAAAAAAAAGGTACCAGCATCGGCCCATTTTACACACGTGCTCCCAACAGGGCAAGCACAATTAAGCAGCAATTGGAACTATCGCTCCCAGTTGGTTTTTCCTGCTGGTAGAAATAGCTGTCATCAGGGAGAACTATAAGCAATCTAGCACAGCCTCCAGATGCCTTGAATGTCATCACTATGGCCCCCCAAGACCGATGGGAACTGAAAGCTCCAGATTAAAGAAGTCTGGTTTAGGATTCTGCCTTGTGAGGAAAGGGAACGCAGATCAGATAAAGTGCTTAGTTCACAAATGACTGAGGGCCCTTGGATCCTCTGTGCTTGTTCTCTTGCAGACATTTCATTACCCAAACTAGGTAACATTATCAGTGCTAGTGGGGTTTGCTCTCAGTTTACATTCTAATGGCCGGTAATTGACTGGAATTGGAAATTGACCAATGATTGGAAATTTGTCGGAAGCTTTTCTTGGTCTGCCAAGTAGGAGATGCCAACTGGGAGGGATTAAGCTGCCTGTATTAAGCAGCATGCTTCATCATAGGCCGTGTTGGCTTGTTTCCATGACTCTAAAGTTCTACTTTCTACCAACTAGCAGAGGGACAAATGAGTGTTCTTACCTTCCCCCCTGTCGTGGTTAACTTTAGCACCTGCAAAAGCATAGCAAGAAGTTGAAGGAACGGCGGTGGGATGGCGGGACCTACTGGCACTACGGGGAAAGGGGAAGGGATCTGAGCTGAGCCGAGCCACTAAGGCAGCTTTCCCCAAGCTGGCCCCCTCCAGGGTGTTGGGACTCCAATTCCCGGAATTTCCCAACCTTTGCTAGGAATCCAGGGAATGGCAGGACCAACTCATTTAAAGGAGGCCAGAATGGGGAAAGCTTGACTGTGCCTTAGGAGCAGCTCCAGGGGACCCACACTGAGTGGCCCTGAGTGACCCACAATACCTTCGTCATCTAAGGTGGGGTAACTCCTGGCTCCCCGGAGGTCATACTGCACTTCGTCCTTCTCCGAAGGAATCTGGCTGGCAGAGAACGCAGCCATAGGGCCGGATGGCTTAACAGCTAACAAGGCATTCCGTCCTTTCTTTGAGGGAGACGCTTTCAGGGCTTTCAGAAGAGGTCAAAGAAAGAAAAGCAAGGAGGTTCTGTTAAAAGAGAAAACACACACCCACCCTTCCCCTGAAAATAACGGGCATTTTCTCCTTCTCCCCCCCCCCCGAGAAATTAAGAGCCTTCGAACCAAATTAGTAGTCATCTACTAATTATCACCTGTTTGGCTACTAACTCTCTTTTTTTGTCTGAAAGCTTTATACCTGAAAAGGTGTTTCTCAACCGTGGCCACTTTACGATCTGTGGACTTCAATTCCCAGAATTCCCCAGCCAAGGTTGAGAAAAAGCAGCTTGGAGAAAGCACCAGAAGGAGAGATTTCTAGACTAGTGGTTCTCAACCTGTGGGTCGGGACCCCATTTGGGGTCGAACGACCATTTCACGGGGGTCGCCAAACAAGGCAGTCCGCCATTTTTTTTCCCTTTTTCCTTAGCTGTGCTACTCCCTTTTATTCTATTGGCTTTTGAAAGCCAATAGAATAGACTCTCTTGAATAGAGTCTAATTCTATTGGCTTTCAAAAGCCAATAGGAATTGTCCAGGCTGTCTCTGCCCTGCTGAGCCCGCCAAAAGTCCCATTCTGCAAACGGTGCTGCACCAGTTGAGTAGTCCTCGACTTACAACCGGTTGAGTAGTCCTCGACTTACGACCGGTTGGGGGTCGCGGCATTAAAAAGGTTGAGAACCACTGTTCTAGACCCTTATTTTAAAAGACAATCTTTTTTCTGCTAAAATTAGAAAATTCTTAATTTTTTTTTTCTTCAGTGCAGTTTATGTGTGTCTCTAGGTATGATCATTTGCATGTAAAATAGCCGAGGTTCAGTCTCCTGACTTATTCCTAGAAGGGTCTCATGTAATAAATGATGGGAAAGGATCTTCAGGCCCAGAAAAGCCACTTTCAGCCAGAAGAAACCAGCACGGATGAAATGAACAAATTCTTGGGCCTGACCGAAAGACACCCCCTATATTCTTATTTGATAGCGGAAGGGTACTCATAAAACAGGGATTGGCAATGGATGGTAGGTAGGCCAGGATCCCAGATTTCACTGCCCTTGACAATTCAATGAATGGACTTCAACTCTGGGCAAAGGATGGATCAGAAAAATTCAGAAGTAATTAGATCCCCGGAATCAAATCGTTGCTGGCCCTACAAAGCTTTCTTTCTTGCTAATCTGATTTCCTAGCTAACCTGCCACTCACAGGATTTGCTGCAAAGAATGAACACACCATGAGCAGAGGGAAGAATTGATTTATCTGTTTGGGCTGCTTCAAAAGGAGATGATGTAGGTATTACAAATAGTCCTCATTTATTGACCACAATGGGGAACCACCATTTGGTCATTAAGCGAAGCAGTCACGAAGTGAAACTGTGCTCATCGTGCTTCAACTTTCCTTTGCTTTATAGACATGCAAAGATTGTAAATGTGAGTATTCGTTGCAAAGTTGTTGTTTTTTCACAATTATCTTGAGTGCAAATGGTTACTAAGTGAGGCACTTGCTAAAAGAGGACTACATTATCACAGACTTAGAAAGGGGATGAGGTAGACATGAGGCAGGCAGGAAATAGCCTTATCTTTATATGGTAGCCCTACAAGGTAAGCAAGATCAAGAAACCAACTTCACAGGAAGACTATACAGATAGTCCTTAACTTACAACCATTCGTTTAGTGGACATTTGAAGTTACGACACTGAAAAAAGGGACTTATGACCGGTTTTCCCACTTACAACCGTTGCAGCATCCCAATGGTCAGGTGATCAAAATTTGCTTGGCAACTGGCACGGACTTATGACAGTTGCACTGCCCCAGGGGCATGTGACTACCATTTGTTACCTTCTCAGCTGGCTTCTGAGAAGCAAAATCAATGGGGGGAAAACTAGATTTGATAAATGCCCTGACTTGCTTAAGAACTGTAGCAAAAAAGGTTGCAAAATGGGGCAAAACTCACTTAACCTCTGCCATGCTTAGCAAGGGAAATTTTGGTTACAATTGCGGTCGTACGTTGAGGATTATCGGTAACTATACTACCTAGGTCAGGGGTAGGCAACCTTCGGCTCTTTTATGACTCGTGGACTTCAACTCCCAGAATTCCTGAGCCAGCCATGCTGAGGGGAAAGGGAGAGGTTTCCAAGCTGAGCCCTGCTGGCTCAGGAATTCTGGGAGTTGAAGTCCACGAGTCATAAAAGGGCCAAGGTTGCCTACCTCTGGACTAGATGATCCTAATGGTCCTTGAAGTATGACCCACAACTGAGCCAAACATTTCTGTTGCTAAGCGAGACATTCGCTAAATGAATTTGGCCCCATTTTACGACCTTTCTTGCCACAGCTGTTAAGGGAATCACTGCAGTTGTGAAGTTAGTAACATGGCTGTTAAGTGAATCTAGCTTCCCCTGCTGACTTTGCTTATCAAAAAAGTCACAAAAGGGGATCATGTGATCTTGGGTCACTGCAAACGTCATAAATATGAGTCTGCTGCCAAGGGCCCCAATTTTGACCTCGTAACCACAGGGATGCTGCAATGGTTGTAAGCGTGAAAAAGTCACAAGTCACTTTTTTTCAGTGCTGTTGTAACTTCGAACAGTCATTAAGCAAATGATTGTAAGTCAAAGACTACCGGTATAACTATAGTTTACTGAGACAGGATCTTGCCAGGGAATCAGGGGAGAGTCTGTCTGAGTCTCTTTCTAATGTAGCGGCCCCCAACCTTTTCTATACCCCGTACCCTTAGAACGCTTCTGATATATTCTCGCACCCCTTACAAAAGTTCAAAATAATGGCAACGAATCATGCATATACACTAGTGGCCAAAATTGTGGAAACCTTTTGGGGAAAGTGTACAGTAGAAATGCCACCTTTGGTTAAGTTTACCCACCCATTGTTCTTCTAATTTCTTTATAATTGTAGCCTTGTTCACTTAATAATACTATTTTACATCGCTTTCTGGGCGACCAGTCAACTCTTTGCACCATTACTTTAACTTTATGACGTTTTACAAGCTCACTCAATGAAAGAACACAAAAAAACCCAACCAACTTGATAGCGATCACGTAACACACTGACAAATGTCCTCCTCTCAGCTTCAATACAGTGATCTGATTGGCTCACTGCCAAAACAAGATGACACCCAATTGGCTCTCTAAACACTCATGCTCATTGGCTACAATCAGATGAAGGAAAGCTACCTGATATCAACCTAAGCAAGTTGTGCTTCCTTTTTCTGGTTATTTGGATATAACCTTTCATAGAATACAAAACAGATAATTGAACAAACTTTGTGCATTACATTCTTGATTAAATTATCTTTCCATTGATATATAATTTTATGGTACTACTCCCCCCAAAAAAGTGGTATTAGCCATCAAACCTCAAGAATACACTTTTCCCAAAAGGTTTCCACAATTTTGGCCACTACTGTACTTTTGAAAACCCAAGTTTTTGCATCCCCTGGAATATCGTCTTGCAACCCCAGGGGGTGTGAGCACTCCTGGCTGCAAACCCCTGTTCTAACGCTTTCCCTCCTCCATGGTGTGTGTGTGTGTGTGTGTGTGTGTGTGTGTGTGTGTGTGTGTGTATGTGTGTGTCTCAAGACAGGTTTCTGCATCTGCTGTTGTCTTAACCCTTCTGGGTAGTTTCTCCAGGGTTCTCTCCATAGCTCCCTACAGCTGCTCCTTTAACCAGCAAGCATCTTCGGCACACACACACCCAAATAGCATTGTAAATGCCTCCAATGAAAGCAGCAGACACTTACAAGAGCTTTTCCTGAACACCGTATTGGTCATAAACTTGAAGAATCTTTCTGCATAGAAGCTGGGCCTGTGGACTGACACCGTGTCCTAGAAAAACAGGAAAGGGATAAATATTTTTGTAAAAATGTTATGTTTTACAAAACCATGGCTTTGGAAAAAAAAAATCAGACTGCAGGATTGATAAAAAAAAATGTTATCAGTACGCTAGAATACAAGTGCAGGCGATGGACGTTTTGAAAATTATTCCAAGCAAACAGAACTCATTAAAGCAGCCTTGTTTAAGCCCCTCCTAAAGCAGAGCCACATTTTCCCAAGTTCAAGCCGAAACTAGAAGAAATTTAAGGCTTTAAGGAATAGTCAGGAACATAAACCTAATTTCTATAAGGAGACATGAAGGTCTCTACAGCTGTGTGCAGAGACATCGTGCAACCCACACAGTAAGCTTAAACTAAACCCGTACACAAGTGGAACAGTATAGTAATAATAATAATAATAATAATAATAATAATAATAATAATAATAATAATAATAATAGGTCTGCCTATCCCAGGTCCTGGGTAAGGACTCGATAGGTAGACAAAATGCCAAATCCAGTCTGAACATCCGGCTGACTGTGCGATGATCCATAATAATAATAATAATAATAATAATAATAATAATAATAATAATAATAATAATAATAATAATGTGGGAAGAGACCTTGGAGGTCATCTAGTCCAACCCCCTGCTCAGGCAGAAAACCTTATACCATTTCGGACAAATGGCTGTCCAGTCTCTTCTTAAAAACTTCCAGTGTCGGAGCATTCACAGCTTCTGGAGGCAGGTTGTTCCACTGATTAATTGTTCTCACTGTCAGGAAATTTCCCCTTAGTTCTAGGTTGCTTCTCTCCTTGTTTAGCTTCCATCCGTTGCTTCCTGTCCTGCCTTCAGGCGCTTTGGAGAATAGCTTGACTCCCTCTTCTTTGGGGCAGCCCCTGAGATATTGGAACACTGCTATCATGTCCCCCCTCGTCCTTCTCTTCGTTAATCTAGACATTCCCAATTCCAGCAACCGTTCCTTATATGTTTTAGCCTCCAGTCCCCTGGAGGGGGTGTGGATGCTCCTATTCTGGAAGTTATAAAATTCTCAAGGATAGTTTAATTGCCTTACCTGCCTATGGCTGGATTAGATGATGTTTGGGATCCCTTCCACTTCCATCATTCTATAGATTTCAATTGATTTTTTGCAGAGTTGGACTAGATGATCTTAATGGTCCCTCCGAATTCCCTACTACTATGATTCTGAGTCTATGAAACCTCAAATCGCTCTTCCCTAGCTATACTGCTTAAGACAACTTTCACCAATAAGCCCTGATTATGGACTGATATGTTGTTGGAATATATCATCTGTTATGGCAGAGGTCCCCAACCCCCGGTCTGTGGACCGGCACCAGGCCGCGGCATTCCAGCAACCGGGCTGCGCAAACAAGCGAAGCCTCATCCGCGGGATGCAGGCAGCACACGAAACCATGCCCCCTCTGGTCCACAGAAAAACCTCTCTCCACGTAACCAGTCCCTGGTGTCCAAAAGGTTGGGGGCCTGTGTGTTTATGGCACTGAGAATTACAGAACACAAGTGCCCCATAACTCTTTATACCCAGTGGTTCTCAATCTGTGGTCCGCAGACCCTGGGGGGCCACAATGTCATCACAAGTAGTCCGTGAAGGCTTGAAGAAACGTTATAGTTTAAGTCAAGATTTAAGTCCGTGGCCACAAAAGGTATTTAAAGAGGGTCTGTAGTGAAGAAAAGATTGAGAACCACTGGTTTATATCTTCATTATTGGGTAGATTAATTTCCTCTGCTAGTTCCCTTCGGGTGGCAGCATAACCAAGGGCAACATGGGATCACTCTTAGGACAAGCCACCATATGGTACCGTTCAGTTGGGTTCCAACTTACCCCATCATGGACAAGAGCTTTCCACGTATGCTCCAGTTTCTTGATTAACCTGGAAGGAAGAGACAAGCAAAGGATTGAGCGGGGGAAAAGAAGAACCAAATTAAAACAGGACCAAACACCAGTCTCTTCTCTGGATGCACTCAGAGTGTGGTCAAAAAAAGTCAAGGTGACAGCCAAAATGATGCAATCAAAACTCCACAGTCGTTCTGGTCAGTCAGATAAATGGCACATAAATGTAATAAATAAATAAATGAAAGAATGCCCTGAGTTCTCAAAGAGGAACAGGATGTGGGGCATACCTGTAGGACTGGAGAATATCGATGATGCCGACGTGCAGCAGCAGACGCTCCCCTCTGCCATTCACGGCTGGAATACCCCCCATTCTGAAAGGACAGAGGACAGAAAATTACTATCTATTGGCTCAGTTAAAGTTAGAACCAGTTTGGTCTAGTGATGAAGACACCAGGCTACAAAGCAGAACACAGGAGTTCTAGTCCCACCTTAGCCATGAAATCCGGCTGGGTGAGTTTGGGCCAATCACCAGGAGACTGGGAATTCTAGTCCCACCTTAGCCAAGAAAGCCTGCTGGGTGACTTTGGGCCCATCACCAGGAGACTGAGAGTTCTAGTCCCACCTTAGATATGAAAGCCAGATGGGGAACTTTGGGCCAATCACTCAGCCTAAACCACTTCAGAGGATTGTGGTGGGAAAAAATATGAAGAAGATGTGTTGATAGATAGATTAGATCAGACATGTCAAACTCGTATCGGAGCTTTTTTGGCATTGCCGGCATTGGGGTGGGTGCGGTTTTGCGATGATGTGTCCGGCTTATGGGCCAGCAGTTTGACACCCCTGGATTAGACAGACAGACAGACAGACAGACATTTTTTACTGTGGGCACAATGGCATACATTAAAAATGAAATTTAGCTGCCTGCTCTCAAAGTGTATGCATACATAACACATTTAAATATACTATATACAACATATGTATAGGCCTACAGCCTTACATATAAGTAACATATAAATATTAATCACTGTCCATCTTGAATATATAATGGAAGGAGGCAAATTTAGAGTTCACAAGGTTGATACTGTATGGAACAAAGCTGTGACTGAATCTGGATGTTCTGCTATGGATACCACGGAGCCCCCTCCTCCCAGAAGGTAACAAAGAAAACAGGTCGTGAAGAGGATGTGTTGTGTCCCAAACAATCCTGTGGACCCTACTCAAGCAGCGCTTCTGTGCTATGTCCTGGATGGGAGGGAGGGAGCTGCCAATGATCTTTTCGGCCATCCTCACCACTCTCCGCACCGCCTTCCTGTCTGAAGCAGGGATGCTTCCAAACCAGACTGTGATGCTGTATGACAGGATGCTCTCGATCGTCCCTCTGTAGAAAGTGGTCAGGACAGGGGAAGAAAGATGTGTTTTTCTCTCATGTGACGCAGAAAATGCAGACGCTGCTATGCCCGCTTCACCAGTGTCTCGCTGTTGAGCGACCAAGCCAGCCTACTTGTTAGCTGCACACCCAGGAATTTGATGCTGGTAACCACCTCCACAGGTGAATCATTAATGCACAGAGGAGTGCAGCTATGCCTGCCTTTTCTGAAATCGAGAATGATCTCTTTGGTTTTTCCAATGTTTAAAACTAGGCTGTTTTCCTTACACCAGTTCATCAAAACCTCAACCTCCTTGCAGTAAGCACCCTCATTGTCATCTTGAATAAGGCCCACCATTGTTGTATCATCCGCATACGTCACAATATGGTTGGTGGCAAACCTAGCACAACAGTCATGGGTCAACAGGGTGAACAGAATATTTGGTGCCTTATTTGTAAAATAATAAAGGTGGAATACAAGTGAACAAATAAAGTCATGGATGCAATGCCCAGCTTCCACTTTACACTCCGCTAAACTTAACATTTATATCCTGTTTTTATATTTGAATATTCTATTATATACCACCCAGAGCCCCTCCTTGAGGGAGATGGACAGTTTAAAAAATGGGAAAAATAAAATGAGATAACTAAATACGTGCCAGTTACCAGGCATCCAAATCCAAGCGATCTGCCTAATAACCGTGGTGATTTGCTTAAGGACGACAGCAAAAAGAGCCGCAACGTTGGGCACAACTGACTTAACTGCTTAGCAATGGAAAGTCAAGTCCCAATGGTGGTCATAAGTCAAGGACTTATCTGTGGTGTTACAACACCCATCATCTCCAGCCGTTGCAGTCCTTGGGGAGGAAGGTCACACAATGCACCACGATTTGGACTTGCACTCATTTACCGAGGATGTAACACGTTAGGCTAATTCAGGGGTCTTCAAACTTGGCCCTTTTATCACACGTGGACTTCAACTCCCAGAATTCCTCAGCCAGCATGCCTGGCTAAGGAATTCTGGGAGTTGAAGTCCACAAGTCATAAAAGGGCCAAGTTTGAAAGCCCTTGGGCTAATCCTTTACTGAGACAGATTTAGCTGCCAATTGGGGATCTGAGCGACACCCAAATTTGTCGCTGCAAAAAATTGGCTGAATCACTGCAAAGAATCAAATGCTGATGCGCATTCAACACAATGGCCTCTCATTTAGGGTAATGGGAGCTGGCAATCTTCCAGGGACTTCAACTGTTCCGAATTGCGTTCTCCAACATTCCTCATGTTCTGAAATCTCTCTTTAAGCACTTGAGTTGGGAGAGACGAAACCCCCCCCAAAAAAGCTCCAAGAGAGAGAAAAGAGAAGAGCACTTAAACATAATCATCCCCGGCCCTCCCCAAAGAGATTTAGATGCCAGGCTTTGTGAGCGTGGCTGAAGATTTTTCTCCTCCTCCCCCCAGAAGCTGGCAAAAGCATAAAGAGATTATAAATACGTTAGCCCACCACCACTGTTGCACATTCACACATTCCTCTGTCTCCAGGGCAGTAACATCCTTGTGGTTATGCTACTGAAATGAATTTCCTTCGGGTGGAAGGTAACACGGGTAGTCCTCAACTTACAACCGCTTTGTTTAGTGACCGTTTGACATTACAAGGGCACTGAAAAAAGCGACCTAGGACTGGTTTTCACACTCACAACTATTGCAGCATCCCTAGATGATCCCAGGACCAAAATTCAAGTACTTGTCAACTGGCAGGTATTTAGGATGGCTGCAATGTCCTACGGCAGTGATGGCGAACCTTTTAGAGACCGTGTGCCCAAACTGCAATCCAAAACCCACTTATGCATCATCGAGTGCTGGGTGGGTGTGGCCCATTAGTTGGGTGTGGCCAATTGGTGTGTGGCCCATTGGGTGGGCGTGGCTGCGGTGGTAACGGCAGACTGGGTGGGATTAAAAAGTTCAATCAATCAATTCCAGTTTTGCAGGATCTTTTTTTTTCACGCGAGAAGTTGAAATTGACTGATTGATTGAACCTTTTTTTTTTTTTTTGCACACGGCGGCGGAGGCCTAAAGCGAAAAGGTTTTATAAAACCCAGCTGAACGCCTAGGACTGGGGCAACAGCACGCGTGCCCACAGAGAGGGCTCTGAGTGCCGCCTCTGGAACCCGTGCCATGGGTTCGCCACCACTGTCCTATGGTTTTCCCAGTTGCAATGTATGGCTGTGAAATTTGGACCATAAGAAAGGCTGAGCACAAAAGAATGGAGGCCTTTGAACTCTGGTGCTGGAGAAGACTCCTGCGAGTCCCCTGGACAGCAAGGCGATCAAACCGGTCAGTCCTAGAAGAGATCAACCCCGACTGCTCTTGAGAAGGCCAGATCCTGAAGTTGAAACTCAAGTACTTTGGCCACCTAATGAGAAGGAAGGACTCACTGGAGAAGAGCCTCATGCTGGGAAAGATTGAGGGCAACAGAAGAAGGGGACGACAGAGAATGAGGCGGTTGGATGAAGTCACTGAAGCAGTAGATCTGGGGTTATTTAAAACTTGGAAATTATGAATATTAAACGTTAAATTTAAATATTAATGGGAAAACTAAAAAATATGGGAAAAACTAATTAGGACATTGATTGTCTCTAACGATTGAATGTTAAAATAACTAGAATATGTATAAACTGAAAATTATTGATAAATGTAAGAAAGTTATTTTTTATTTAATCGATGTAATAAGAATTGTATTAGTTTAAATATGAGGCAGTAAGTACTAAGGGGAAAAGAGAGGAAATATTTAATGTAATAGTTTGAGACCTGTACTAAAGACACTTCTATGTTACTGAATTATCGATTAACTCAGTTGCCACTTTGCTTTTTAAATATTCAAATGTAAAACTAGAAAATCAATAAAATTTTATTTAAAAAAAATAGAATATTTTAGAGCCAACATCCAATTCTACTGGATGAGAACTTGACTGGCAAGAATTCTAAGACCGGCTTCTTCCAAGACTGTCTTGCAACAAACTCCATCTGTACACAAAACAATCAATCGGTCTCATGAAACATCTGGCCCCATGGTGAACCTATGGCATGGGTGCCAGAGGTGGCACGCAGAGCCCTCTCTGTGGGCACGCATACCGTCACCCCAGTCCTAGGCCTTCAGCTGGATTTTATAAAATCTTTTCGCTTTAGGCCTCTGCCACCGTGTGCAAAAAAATAAATAAATCAATTTCAACTTCTCGTGGGGAAAAAAAAAGATCTCGCAAAGTTGGAATTAATTGAACTTTTTAGTCTCACCCAGTCTGCCGTTACCACTGCAGCCACGCCCACCCAATTTGCCACACCTACCCAATGGGCCACACCCACCCAATGGGCCATGCCCACCCAGCACCCGACGATACATAAGTGGGTTTTGGGTTGCAGTTTGGGCACTTGGTCTCTAAAAGGTTCGCCATCACTGATCTAGCCCATCTGGAGGGCCCAACTGTTCCCAGAAGAGCAGAAAACAAGCAGACTAAGCTACTGGCAGAAGAATCAGTTTGATATAGTGGTTAAAAGCATCAGGCTAGAAACTGGGGTGAGTGTGAATTCTAGTTCCATCTTAGGCACCAAGTCAACGGGGAGACTTTGGACCGGTCTCTTGCTTTCCACCCTAGGAAAGTGACAATAGCCAACCACTTCCGAAAATGGTGCCAAGAAAACTGGAGGAATTTGTCCAAGCAGTTGGCAGAAGTCAAGACTGACTTAAGATACACAACGCTATGTAAAGCCTTACCAAGCCCGAGGAACCATCTTTTCAATTGGATGAAAAAAGGACATTCGCCTGGGACAGTGATCTGCATTCTCAACTTCGTAGGTCTCCACAGGGCATGGAGAGTCACGATGGTGGGACGGAATGGTGTGATAAAAGCCCTGTTTTTTATATACCATATATAAACCATATATATAAAAAAGTAGAGCTTCAATTGCAGAATTGTGGTCAGCATCTTGACTATGCCCTGTAGATGCCCCTGAATTCCTTGGTTAGAAATTTTTCCCTCTCCCCAACCGTTCCGGATCATTACATTTTGGGCAACATAACCACATTATTCATAGAACAAGTCCTTGCAGACCACAAGCCAGCATGCTAAAATCTTCCCTGGACATCTGCTTGGAAGAGTCAGCAATACGGGCATTGAATTATGATCAAAACTGAGCTCAACACTTCTGTAGCTAAGCACAACCGTTGTTAAGTGAGTTTTCCCCCTTGTACAATCTTCCTTGCATTGTTATTAAACGAAGCACAATTAACCAGTGGAACAACCTGCCTCCAGAAGCTGTGAATGCTCCAACACTGGAAGTTTTTAAGAAGAGACTGGACAGCCATTTGTCTGAAATGGTATAGGGTTTCCTGCCTGAGCAGAGGTTGGACTAGATGACCTCCAAGGTCCCTTCCAAGTTTTTAGTAGTAGTAGTAGTAGTAGTAGTAGTAGTAGTAGTAGTAGTACTAATAGTAGTAGTAGTTAAGTTTGCATCATAGCTGTTAAGTGAATCTGGCTTTCCCCATTGACTTTGCTTGTCAGAAGGTTGCAAAAGGTGATCAGGTGACACCCCCCCCAGATCACTGCAACCGCCATAAGTACATGCCAGTTGCCAAGCATCCAAATTTGGATTACGTGACCAGGGGGATGCTGCAACAGTTAAGTGTGGGAAACGGTCATAAGTCGCTTTTTATCAGTGCCGTTGTTAACTCTGAATGGCCACTAAATGAACAGTGGTAAGTCGAGGACTACCCGTCCTCAAAACTGCCGGCGTGACTTACGTGTCATCCGTGTCAATGGGCTCCCCTCGAGAAGCCCCACCTTGGATCGACTCCATGGCGGTGGAATACAGAGCCTTCTGTCCCACGGGGCGTTTTTCATCCGACATGCTCTGGGCACCGTCAACTTGTCGTTCCCGTTCCTGCTGGTCTATGTTGTGCACCCCGAGGAGCAGACTGTAATCCATGATTTTAAAACTCTCTAGCACCTGAAGGTTACGGGAGGAAAAAAAAGGAGAAACCACAATCAAATCTGCAGTGCGACGGAGCTTAGGAGGGCTGCTAAAGTCCGTTGACTTCTGACAGTTTGGACCAAAGCTTCCGTTGCTAAGCAAAGTAGTTGTTAAGTGAGTCATGCCCAATTTTACAATTATCGGGGGGGGGTCACAGTTGTTTAAGCAAATCACTGCAGTTTGTTAAGTGAATTGTGTGGTTGTTAAGCAAAACTGGCTTTCCCACACTGACTTTACTTGTCGGAAGCTGGCTGGGAAGGTCGTGAATGGCAATCAGGTGACCCCAGGATGCTGCAACCATTGTAAATCCCCTGTTTTCCTGAAAGTAAGGCCTACACCAGGGGTAGACAACCTCGGCTCTTTTATTCAGTCAGCTCAGGAATTCTGGGAGTTGAAGTCCATGAGTCATAAAAGAGCCGAGGTTGCCTACCCCTGGTCTACACCGAAAATAAGACCTAGCTTGATTTTGGGGGGTGGGCCTAATATATGCCCTATCCCCCAAAATAAGCTCTAGTTTTGGGTGAGGCACACACCTAAAAATCAAGCTACAGTGGGGGTGGAGGGGTGGAGCTGACCCACGCGCCCCACACCCACTCACCTTGCAGCCAGGCCTCTCCTCACTAGCCCACTTCTGTGGCGTCTTCTGCAGCCAGGCCTGCATTTCTCAGTCATAGGCCTTTCCAGAAGGCCACTGCAGCCGAGAACTGAGCTATGGATTCAATCTATAGCTCGGAACTCGGCTGCATAGGCCTTCCATAAAGCCCTGACTGCAAAATGCAGGCTGGAATGCAGCTGTAGAACGAAGCTGCTCCTTTGGTCAGATGAAGTGGGCCAGCTGGGCGGGGCTGTCTGTGCCAGAGCTGAGTACAAAAGACACCCCCTGAAAATAAGACCTGGTGCCTCTTTTGGAGGCAAAAAAAAACATAAGATCTGGGTAGATGCTGGTTGCTAAGTGTCTGAATTTTGATCATGTGGCCCTGCGGATGCTGCAGTGGTCCTAAGTGGGAGGATGGAACGTAAGCCCCTTTTTTCCAGTGTTGTTGTAACTTTGAATGGTCACTAAAAAACCGATTGTCAAGTCGAAGACGGCACGTGCTCTTCTTCTTCTCCTTGCTGGGTTGTTAACAATACATCACTATGAATCGTTCAAGGATGGCCGGTCACCACCTCCTCCTCCTCCGACTTACCAAACAGTCCCTCTGCAACGTCTTCACCAGAGCACTGAAGGTGTCTGCGTCCAGCATGATGCCCTCGGGCATATCCTGCATGAAATCCAAATCTTTGTAGGTGGGGCTCGACTTATCCTTCTCTTTCTTGGACGCCCGGCGTTTGTAGGTGGAGCCTTTGAGGTCGTATTTCAAGTGCATCTTCACCACCCGGGGCAGGATGTTATTCATCACCACCACGCGGATGTTTTTGCCCCCGGATTGGACGCAGTAGAGACCGTAGAACTTTGGCAGCAACGTCCGTGGATTCTGGTTCAAGTTCTAGAGGGAGATTTTTAAAAGGCGTATAGAAGAACACTGGGCGTAAGACCTGATTTTTATGCGTTTGACCATCCAACTTTGTACCTGAGGGACCTGGGGCTCCTAGTGGAAAAGAAACTGTATCCTTCAACCTCTTCCTCCGTCTTCTGAGTTTGCTTTTTATTAGATTTTTTTATCCTACCTTTATTATTTTTATAAATAACTCAAGGCAGCAAACATACCTAATATTCCTTCCTCCACCTATTTTCCTCACAACAACCCTGTGAGGTGGGTTGGGCTGGGAGAGGGACTGGCTCAAATTCACCTAGCCGGCTTGCATGCCTAAAGTGGGATTGGAACTCACCTGATGATTGGTCCCAAGTCATTCAACTGGCTTTCATGCCTAAGGCGGCACTAGAATTCATGTCTCCTGGTTTCTAGCCTAGCGCCTTAATTACTAGATCAAACTGGCTCCTATTTATTTATTAAATTTATATGCCACTCATCTCACTAACAAGTAACTCTGGCTGGGCTGTTTCTAGGTTATAGTATGCTGTTTGGTTTCATTTATTTATTTATTTTATTTATGAGACTTATATACTGCTTTAAGTGCAAGCACTCTCTAAGCGGTGTACACCAGTAAGCAATGTGTATATATTTACATTGCCCCCAACAATCTGGGTCCTCATTTTACCTACCCCGGAAGGATGGAAGGCTGAGTCAACCTTGAGCCGGTGAGATTTGAACCGCTGACCTGCTGAACACAGTCAACTAAAGTGGCCTGCAGTACTGCACTCTAACTGCTGCGCCACCTCGGCTCAGTTATATGTCAGCATACGTCCAATTTAGTTACTGATATGCATGTGTTTGCTGCCTACTCATACAACTCCAGGACTAGAATATTCCAGAACATTCAAATCACATTCCAGGCCGTGCCAATTCATATATCTGTTCCTGGAATGATTGGGGGGGGGTGTTCTGGATGTTTATTCATCTGAGCTTTTCCTGGTTTGGGATTAAATTCTGGAAAACAGGTTTCATCTGCATCAAGAGGGTCTAATGGGAAAAACAGCCCTTCTACACAATTCTTCCCTTTCATACAGATACATTTTCGAAACTCTAAACGCCTACAAGGGACAGGGTCGGACACATACCATATAATAACCTGGAAGAAGTTTCTGGAGGAACTCTGCCTCTTTGTGCATCACAGTCTTGATGATGAATTCATCGTCGCTGGTGACATAGAAGAGGGAGCCGCTGGCCCCAGGATTGGAGAGCTCGATCAGCGGCTCGTTGCACAAGGAATACTGAGAAGGCAAGAAGAATTCAACAGCATGTGTTAAAGAATATCAGTACAGGTAGTCCTCGAGTTACTTTCACTCATAAATGAAAATGTGTGGGAATGAATCTCATAACTGACGCAAGCAGCTCGTTAAGTGAACATGAGTTATCTCAGGGTGGGGAAGGCCATGGAGGGCCTAGTGATGGAACAGGCCAAGGCCTCCCAACCCACTAAGATACCTCATGCTTCCCCATCCCTTCCTGCTGCACCAGATTCACTTTGAAAAGATCCTCTCTGCCGTGGTTCCTGCTGCCACCCGGATCTGAGGCCAGGGGACCCTTCCGCGTGCCTCCGGAGGCCGGATTGGGGCACCTTTTCCAGGCCGCTGTCTCCCGAATCTGAGACCTGGGGACACTTCCACGGCCCTCCGGAGGCCCGCTTCCAGGTGGCAGCAGCCTGGAGAAAGCCTCCAGAACCCAAATCAGGCCACCGGAGGGCCACGGAAGCATCCCTCGGCCTCAGATCTGGGTGACAGCAGCCTGGAAAAGGCTTCCGACGTCCCGATCCAGCCTCCGGAGGCAAATGGAAGCGTCCCCCGGCTTCCGTTCTCTGTTGCAGAGAACAGAGGCCTAAACTACTATGAGATCGCACGAGATCAGTAGCGTGACATCTCGCCCCACGGATCTCGCGTGATCTCAGAGTACTTTAGGCCTCCATTGCCTGTGAACACACTGAAGGCCTGGAGCAGCCAAGAAAGCAAAGGATCTCGATCTTTGCAGGGTGATTATTGAAGGCCTGGTGCCTAGGGAGACCCAGAGCAGGGGTGGGGAGGGAGGGAATAACCAGGGTGAATGATACAGAGCCTCTGCGGTCGCTCGTAAGAGAGAATGACTGCCGTGGTGCTACAATATTCGTAATTTTGGGACTTGCTCGTAAGCACTAGGGGGCGCTTATTGCGTAACTTCGAACGCTCGTAACTTGAGAATTACCTGTAGACTTCTCCCTATTTGCTCATCCCAGCTGAAAGGCCCTGACCCATGCATTCCATAGGTCAGTGATGGTGAATCTTTTAGAGACCGAGTGCCCAAAATTGCCCCTGCCCCCACCTTGCACCCCTGCACCCCCGCTCAGCCCCCTGCTCTGCCCACCCCCAGGGCCATCCACCGCCTCCACAGCCCGCCGCAGATCGTCCAGGTGGCCCAGCAGCGCCATGGCAGCTACACCCTCTACCCACACCTCGCAGCATCAACTGCGCGCAATGGGGTGCGAGGACGGAGTCTTGTCTCCGTTGCCTGGCTGCCATGTCCTTGGGTGCGCTGCTCCGTGCGGGCCGCGCCCAGGGGGTGACTTTCCTCCGGGGGGGCTGCTTATGAGGGGGCCATGGGGGGAGGTGGGGCTGAGGTGATGGCGCACGTGCCCACAGAGAGGGCTCTGAGTGTCACCTCTGGCACGCATGCCATAGATTCACCACCACTGCCATAAGTCACTGGGTAATACAACCTAACACCAATCTAGGCAGTCCTTGACTTACAGCCATTTGTTTCCTGACCGTTCAAAGTTACAACAGCACTGAAAAAAGTGACTTATGAGCAGTTTTCACATGGATGACTGTTGCGGCATCCCCACGGTCATGTGATCAAAATTTGGGCGCTTGGCAACTGGCATGTATTTATGGTAAGTTGCACTGTCCCGGGGTCATGTGATCACCTTTTGTGACCTTCTCAACCGGCTTGTGACAAGTAAAGTCAATGCGGGAAGCCAGATTCACTTAACAACCACATGATTCACTTAACAGCTGTAGTGATTTGCTTAACTGTAGCAAAATAAAAAATAAAAAATGTCGTAATATGGGGTGCAGCTCACAGGTCAACTGCCTTGCTTAGCAATAGAAATTTTGGGCTTCATCGTGGTTGTAAGTCGAGGACTGCTTGGTCTTTTTATTTGCAAAGAATGAAAAAGATGAGCAGATCTTACCAAATAATCATCCGGACGAATGCCAAAAAGTTCTCGAAAATAGCGGAAAGCTACAGGGGCGTACGTTTTGAACCTGAAGTCGGGGTAATGGTGCGCTGGAGTGAGATTACTGCCTTCACTACATTTTGGGAAAGACAGAAACATGTTCACACTGAGCAACACTTTCCTCTTTTCTTACAATTGATAATGAAATGCATCACTTGTACCGCTGGTAAGGCCTTCCATTTTGGCTATTTTGGAGGGAAACTCAAGGTTACCTCAGGAACCGTTTCCCCCCAGTGTTATCAGCTTGTCCCACTTGCAACAATAGAAGGGGCATGCTGCAGACCCTGTCGGTCAAAGAATTCTGACCGGCAGAATCCAAAAAAAAGAGCACCTTTGCCGTGATTCCCGCCCTTTGGAACATCATGCCCCCTGAAGTGAGATCTACCCTCACCCTCTTAAGCCTTTTGGAAAGGCCTTAAAACCTGGTTCTGCCAACTGGCCTGGGGTCCCAATGGGAATGTTCCATATTGGAGGTGGTTAGTGCAATTTGGCAACTTTAAAATCTGTGGATTTCAACTCTCAGAATTCCTCAGCCAGCCATGCTGGCTGCAGAATTCTGGGAGTTGAAGTCCACAAGTCTTAAAATTAGTGGGTTAGTGCAGAATTCCCCAACATTTTGGGATTGGCGGCCCAGAGCAAGGGGAAAAGGGAAGGTTTGTGGGGCGCCGTGCTTGCACAAGTGGGGTCGCAAATGTCCGCAATCACACTTGCACAAGTTGGGCCGTGAACGTCCGCAATGCTCATGGCAACGCTTGCATGACTGGGGCTATACACACACGCGCAACGGCCAGCCATTCACGTGGCCTGGTGGCCAATAGGCCACAGCCTGGTCATGGACCATGGACCACAGCTTGGGGACCCCTGGGCTAGTGGATTAGAAGAAGACTCCATCTCCCCCCCGGTTATATATTGGCTCCTTCCTTAACTATCTTTCTGAATTTTAATATTTCTCGTGTAATGTTTTACCATTTATATTGCCGTTTTTATGTCGTTGCAAGCTGCCTGGAATCACTTGATGGTGAGATGGGGCGGCATATGAATTTAATAAATAAATAAAGTGAACTTCCTCTTGGCCAGCTTCAATTGCCTCATCGTGTAGCGCGGCCTCCCTTGTTAGTAGGACATTACCTGGGAAAAAAAATGCTCTCCACTACGTAGAAATCTTGCATCAAAACATCCCTCTCAGGCTTGGAGCTCAGATTTCCCACAGTGTAGCCAATCCCCAGCTGGATGGCCCCCTTGAGGGTGGTTGACGTGGTCTGCAGCAGCCAACAAAGAATAGATTAGGTTGAGCAGCACTTAGAGCAGGACATCTATATTATGTCTATGGAGAGTCTCAACCATCCAGGTCAGGGGTCTTCAAACTTCGCCCTTTTATGACTTGTGGACTTCAACTCTCAGAATTGAAGTCCACAAGTCATAAAAGGGCCAAGTTTGAAGACCCCTGATCCAGATCCTGGTCGTCCCAAAGGTGCTTTTTCCAAAAGGCAACTGGTCTTCCTTTGGGGTTTTTTTTTTTGCTTTGAAAATGCCTCACTTCTCATCCAAGAGATTTCTTCCGTTCTAACTGAAGTTTGAACCAAAGAAGCTTCCTGAATGTGAAGCGAAACGTTTTCAAAGAAAGGAACCAAAGAAGTCCAGTTGCCTTTTGGAAAAAGTGCCCTCCTGGTGACTTAACATAGAGAAGAGCTCCTCTTCGCTGGTTGGGAGCAACAATTCATAACAGCTAGTATGGTGTTGACATGAAGTTGTCACACCAGAAGAAGGAAGACCCAGGTTTTAATCCACCGCTAGCTATGGGACATTGGGACAGTCTATCTCAGCTCAAAAGACAGGGTAGTTCAGTGGTAAAGATGCTATAATAGGAGCAGGACAACTATTCTATTGCCCCCTCAGCCATGGAAGCTTATTGGCAGATGTTGGACCAGTCCCTCCCTCATACCCCAAAAGCAATCAGGTGTAGTGGGGAAAATGCTGGACTAGGAGGGGGGGGGAGACTCAGATTCTATTCCTCCTTCAGGCATGGAAGCTCATTGGCTGACTTTGGTCCAGTCCCTCCTTCTCAGCCTAGGAGCCAATCGGGTATAATTAAGGGGCTAGACTAGGAGCAGGAAGTTCTCCACCCCTCTTGGACACAGAAGCTCTCCAGGAGCCTTTGGGCCAGTCCCACTCTTTCAGCACAGTCTATCTCATAAGGTGGGGGCTGTGAGAACGCCTATGTACACAAATCAAATAAACACATACCAAGAATTGCAGCAAAGTGGAATGAATAAAGGCTTGTCTTAAAGGTGTGTAAGGCAAAGGTTTCCTGATTTGTTTTCTTCTGTCATGATTATTCCAGGGCAGGGGTTCTTCAAACTTGGCCCTTTTACGACTTGTGGACTTCAACTCCCAGAATTCCTCAGCCAGGCACACGTGCCTGGCTGAGGAATTCTGGGAGTTGAAGTCCATAAGTCAAAAAAGGGCCAAGTTTGAAGATCCCTGTTCCAGGGGAAGGATTTGTACATGGTTTTTTTAAAAACACAAAACAAAAACATAAGCCTACTACAAGGCTCACCCTTCAGTTTTCATATCTCCTGCCTCCGACTGTAGTCAAATGGGATTCTAACTGCCTCAGGAAAGTGGATTGCAAGGGGCCTTGGGCTTGGTCACACAGCCCTCCTCCATCTTATACCAAGACTGTCCGGAAGCAGAGACACTTAATTTCAGGATAAAGCAGAGCGAGGAGAGTCCTTTTAATTCTTTCCCTTATTCCCCATCAGAACCTCCACCCTCCAGGAGATCAGACCTTCTTGTATGTCGTTTCCCCTGAGGCGTCAACTCCTCGGTGGCCTATTTTTTTCCCCAGGCCGGCTCCCGGCTGCCCTGTCAGCGATGGTGGCTGGAAAAGGAAGGGAGATCAAAGTAAGCAGAGAAAAAGCGGAGAATATTAATTGCCGGTACAGAAGGAACGTTGAAAAGCTCTGTTAGATTAGGCCAAGTTTCATCTGAGATCTAAGATCTCGTTTCTCACAGGAGCCTAGCGGATCCCTTTCGGTGCTTACAACTTGGAATCAAAGACCAAGCCTTCTGTCACCATTGTTCCTCTGCACTGCTGCAACGTGGAGACGATTTAAGAGTTTTTCAGGCTGAATACGTTTGGTAGATCTGCCCTTTACGCCATCTAAGTTAGTGGCCACGTCATCTCGTAACTACAAAGCCCACAAGCTAATTTGTGCTTTGTGAGGAATTTGTTCTCTTCTGATTACTCTAAATCTACTGATCTGCTTCATCTATTTAGAAAGAAAAAAAAAAAGCTTATCCTGGTTCTCCTTCTCCATCTCAGGCAAGACTTAATAAACCACGTTCCTTTGACAGGTCAAAGGGCAGAGGGGAAGTATGAGATTTCAATCAGCCACTCTTCCTCCAAGCAAAAAGCCCCAAGTCCCTCAGTGACCGACCGCAAGAGGAAAATGCTGGATGCTTTTCTGTTCCGTTTGATTTCACGGTCCTTCCAAACTCTGCATCCAGCAGCCTGGCCTTATAATAGCCTTAAAGCAGCTGGCAATCTTTAAAAGCCATTTAATCAATTGTTTAATAAAGCCACCACACTCCAAGTGGGGAAATAAGAAATGGCTTGGCTAGAAAAGCCAGCTTCAGCACTTTTGTATAGGAGTGCTGCCTCCTAAATAACAGTGAGTACTTCTTGTTATCATTATCTGCTAAAGAGCCAGGAACAAAGTGGGTCTAGGCCAGGGGTAGGCAACCTTGGCTCTTTTATGACTCGTGGACTTCAACTCCCAGAATTCCTGAGCCAGCCATGCCGAGGGGAAAGGGAGAGGTTTCCAAGCTGAGCCATGCTGGCTCAGGAATTGTGGGAGTTGAAGTCCATGAGTCATAAAAGAGCCAAGGTTGCCTACCCCTGGTCTAGGGGTCCATCAGGCAGAAGCCTTTGGGTTTAGTAGCATAGAGAGCAAGACTGATACCAGCCTTATCAGGCAAAGTAGATTAAGAAAACGACTCCAGAGGAAAGTCCTAACTTTACTCCACTGGAACAGGCTACAGCAGGGATCTCCAAGACTTTTAAGCCTTGTGGACTTCAACTCCCAGAATTCCTCAGCCAACCTGGACCCAATCATCTGGTTGATCTCACATGGCAGAGCAATTAAAACAATGAGTCTGAGGCTGGGTTCATAGTAGGCTAAATCATGGCTTATTTAATCCAACGCCAAAAACCCTTAGCCTTAAATTATGGCTTCAAAATCACAACGGCTGGGTTCGTATTAACCACTAAGTTAGGAAGACGTAATTTGGCCCAAGGGCTATTATCTACTTTGCCCTGCTCCAGAAGTAGCTGGGACCAAGGAATGGCTGGGAGATTAAGGAATGAAATAGCCTTGCACAGGCTTCAGGCATCCCTTTTGTTACTTAACCCTAAACCAGGGGTCTTCAAACCTGGCCCTTTTATGACTTGTGGACTTCAACTCCCAGAATTCTAGGAGTTGAAGTCCATAAGTCATAAAAGAGCCAAGTTTGAAGGCCCCTGCCTTAGACCAAAGAGGTTGGACCCAAGACAAATGACTTAGTTCTCTTTTCAAAATAATTCTTCCAAATCCTCTTGTTATAAAAATCAAACATTTTCCTAGTTCTGGGGACACTAATGTGGCAGATTCCTGTTCTCTAGTGTCTGGTCTTCATCTCAGGAAATCTTCTACAACCTTCCCTTTTGTTATCCTGGGGTGGAAAGACAAAACTTTCCAGGGCACCATTCACTATCTTTCATCTGTTACCTATTCAGAAGAGTTGCTCATAATCCTGTCATCTTTATATAGCTCTATTCTAGGGCACCTGATCCTTTCCCAATTCCGGTTCTCAGCGAATAGCTCAGTTAGTTGTCAAAGCTTATTGCTGATGACAAGCCTGGAACAATGATAAATCCAGCAAATAATAGAACTGCTTATGCACTGAAGTGAAAAGAGACAACATACGCATTTCTCTCTGACTCCAGGCAGTTAGGAACTCAGCCAGGGTAGGACGCAGCTTTGCTTACAAAAATTATTTTGTATAATTGAGCAAATCTCCAGAACTGTCCTTGTGCTCTTTGCACACAGGCAGAAAACAGACACTGCAAAGCCTTCATCTGCCATTTATTTACTTATTTACTCTTATCATTCTGTGTGTGTACAGGTAGTCCTCGACTTATAACTGAGCCCAAATTTATGTTGCTAAGTGAGACGTTTGTTAAGTGAGTTTTGTCTCATTTTACAACTTATCTTGACACAGCTAGCAATAACACTTAAGACTTATATACCGCTTCACAGTGCTTTACAGCCCCTCTCTAAGCGGTTTACAGAGTCAGCCTGTTGCCTCTAACAATCCGGATCCTCATTTTATTGACCTTGTAAAGATGGAAGGCTGAGTCGACCTTGAGCTGCTCAAGATCGAACTGCCGAACTGCTGGCAGTCGGCAGTCAGCAGAATTAGTTGTTGAATTAATACTGCATTCTAACCACTGCGCCACCACGGCTCCTCAGTTGTTAAGTGAATCATTGTAAATCTTAAGTTAGCCACACGGTTGTTAAGTGAATCTGGTTTACCCACTGACTTTGCTTGTCAGAAAGTCACAAAGGGTGATCACATCCTCCCAGGACATGGTGATCGTCATAAATGTGAGTTGGTTGCCAACTGTGTGAATTTTGATCTTGTGACTATGGGGAGGCTGCAATGGTCGTAAGTGGGAAAAATGGTCATCTATCACTTTTTTTCAGTGACCTCTGAACGATTACTAAATGAACTATTGAGTCGAAGACTACCTGTATCAGCAAATAAGTCAAGTCAACCCACACTCCGATTAATAACATTCAGCCAAGTAAAACAGGCTGAGTGTAAACACAAAATGTTGTTGTTGTCTCCAGGTGCTTGCTTACAATGAAATTATTGCGAAACACCTGGTCTAAAGGCACTGATGTTTGTTGGTTTGCCAATAATAACAATGGGGAAACTGGAGCACAAGACAAAGGTGGAACACAACAACATAATTAAAATGAAGTGTTCCATCTTAAGCAGTTTCTTCTGCTTAAGTTTCTGGAATGTTAAGAGGGAGGATGGGAGTTTTAATTCCAAGAAAAAGCTATTCCACAAGGCTGGATCAGATCCTGGCCTCTATTTTCCTTTCCTCATGAAAGTGGGGTAATAAAAGAAGGCTATTTAGCCCCACACCCTTTTGTGTCTGATGTAAAGGTTACAAATAATGTTAAAATACACAGAGGTGACATCGCAAGGTAAGTATGCAAAACAAGACACCCCAGATGGAAGGTGTATAGCAAAGCCAGTCGTGGGCTGAACTGAAACTGTTTGCTGAACTAACAATGTGGATTGGTGAATAATTCACTGCACACAAACACGCTTCTCCACCCCTTCCGGCTCCTTCAGTAGTCTTCTGTTAAATTTCTCAACTGGAATGATGTGAATCATGCTACGCCATGGTTGTTTTAATTATGTTTTGCTGATTAACTCAGAATGAGGTGGTTTGCACAAAATCATCATCATTATCTCAACCCAAACTGAGATGTGTATACCTGTGTTTGCTTAGTACCCTGGGCGAACCGGCTTTAGCATGCTAAGCAGATCATATGAACTAAATCAAATTTTGCTGAAATAGGTCTGATTTATCGTTTTTATCTGTCCTCAACATGATCTTAGGTACTGCTCATATAAGCCAGTGGTGGTGAACCTATGGCACGTGTGCCAGAGGCGGCACTCAGAGCCCTCTCTGTGGACACGTGTGCCATGCCCCAGAGATGGCGAGGGACTGGCCCCTGCTGCCCTGGCCCCGCCCACCCAGTCTGCCATGACCACTATGGCCACGCCCACCCGGCACCCAGTGATAAATAAGTGGGTTTCGGGTTGCAGTTTGGGCACTGGGTCTCTAAAAGGTTCACCATCACTGATATAGGCTGAATTTTCACCATGTAAAATGAACCCGTCCTTCAAGCTGGAACATCCAGGCAGGCGTAAAATACTGCAGGAATTATGATGGGCAACCCAAGTATCTTCACACAAAAAAGACCTACAAGGTAATCTGAACGCCTAGTTCCCTTGTAGTTGTTGCCAGTAAATCTGGCTCTTCAGCTAAGCCAGTGGTTCTCAACCTTTTTAATGCCGCGACCCCCAACCGGTCGTAAGTCGAGGACTACTCAACCGGTCGTAAGTCGAGGACTACTCAACTGGTGCAGCACCGTTTGCAGAATGGGACTTTTGGCGGGCTCAGCAGGGCAGAGACAGCCTGGACAATTCCTATTGGCTTTTGAAAGCCAATAGAATTAGACTCTATTCAAGAGAGTCTATTCTATTGGCTTTCAAAAGCCAATAGAATAAAAGGGAGTAGCACAGCTAAGGAAAAGGGGGAAAAAATGGCGGACTGCGTTGTTTGGCGACCCCCGTGAAATGGTCGTTCAAGCCCAAATGGGGTCCCGACCCACAGGTTGAGAACCACTGAGCTAAACAGAAAGGCCTCCCATCTCCTTTGGGGCAGCAATGTGTGTCAAGATTGAAACAAGGGAGTGAGCTTATGGTTATGGGAGTGAAAGGAAGGGCTGTTCAGAGCCAGCTTGACCTAGTGGTACTTTGTAGCGCTATGCTACAAAGTAGGAGACAGTGAGTTCCAGCCTCGCTTTAACCATGATTGACTTTAGGCCAATCACCATGAGACAGATGTTTCTAGTCCTGCCTTAGTCACGAAAACTAGCTGGGCGATAAAATGGTGGAATATAATATTGTATCGTATCTATAGCAATTAAAACTTACATACCGCTTCATAGTGCTTTACAGCACTAAGCAATTTATAGTCAGCATACATACATACGTATTCACTCAGTCCAACAGCCGGCAAAAGAAAAATCAAGCAGGATCACACAAGAACCCATTACCCATAGTCACGTTGCCCACACAGGAGAGCACCAAGGCCCAAGCCAGACCTACCACCGCTCTGCCCTCCTATGACAGCGACGACGAAGGGGAGGATGACCCAATGGTGAGTCGACCTGTTCCGCTTTTCTCTCTCGCTGCTAAGCTCATAGTTCCTAAGACAGGGGTACAAATGGATCTGAAAGTGCTAGTGGACTCAGGATGTTCTTGGTGCGTCATCAGTTTGCCAATTGCCCTCAAGATGGGTATACGAGCAAGATTGCTCTCCAGGCCCATGAGGTTTGAACAGGCAGATGGCTCCTTAATGGGAGGGACTTTAGTCGCCCATCTGACGGAACCTATAAGCTTAGAAATAGGTGAGCATTGAGAGTTCATCCGTTTCGTGGTGGGCCCGAAGATGACTGAGGCTGTGATCTTAAGATCTAGCCTGGTTGGACAAGGGGAAGCCTTTTATCTGGTGGGAGAAGGGGACGAGGACTGTGAGATTGCCCATAGGCCCCAAGCCCCCTCTTGATTCTACCGACGTTACTGGAGGGCCTAAGCCTTTTACCGAATCGGCAAAGATAGCTGCCATTCCCCGGCCGGGTGAACCATTCATTCCCAGTGAATACTAAGATTTAGCAGAGGTGTTTAGTGAAAGAGTGTGACATCGGCCAAATGACTGCGCCACTGAACTATTACCGGGGGCTAAACTCCCACGGCCGAGAATGTACACTATGACCCTCCTCAAAATGGATGAACTACAGCAATAGTGAACAAAAACCTAGCAAGAGGTTTTATAGAGCCGGCCAAATGCCAGGTGGGGGCTCCGGTGTTGCGTTGACACATTCATTCATTCATTCAAGACCACTCCTGGGGGGGAAGTCGCTTGCCTAAAGAACCTGGAGAAGCTAGTGCTCAAAATCTTTTCTAAATACTCTGATTAACGTGCTCTACGGGAAATCGCTTGCTTTATTTAAAAAAAACAAAATCTTCCCACAGGCATATAACTGTACTGCTACGACAAAGTATGGAACCCATAGATCCAGAGAAGTGTGGATTTCTACAGAAATTGTTATTACAAATGGACAACCATTTGTCTGAAATGGTATAGGGCAGGGGTAGGCAACCTTGGCTCTTTTATGACTCGTGGACTTCAACTCCCAGAATTCCTGAGCCAGCATGGCTCAGCTTGGAAACCTCTCCCTTTCCCCTCAGCATGGCTGGCTCAGGAATTCTGGGAGTTGAAGTCCACGAGTCATAAAAGAGCCGAGGTTGCCTGCCCCTGGTATAGGGTCTTCTGCATGTAGCGGGGGCTGGAGAAGAAGACTTCCAGGGTAACTTCCAACTTTTATTATTATTATTATTGTTGTTGTTGTTGTTGTTGTTGTTGTTGTTGTTGTTGATCATCTCACAGTCAGCCACATGTTCAGACTGGATTTGGCATTTTTGCCTACCTATCGAGTCCTTACCAAGGAGCTGGGATGGGTAGACGTGGATGTTTGATGGTATTACAGATATCATCGCAGGATGGAGGCAGTTCCTAGTAAGATGACGATTTCTGTAATACCATCAAACATCCACATCTGCCTATCCCAGGTCCTTGGTAAGGACATTATTATTATTATTATTATTATTATTATTATTATTAATAATAATAATAATAATAATAATACATTCAGAGAAATAGCCTATTTCTGTTAACTTTTAATTTATTTACTAGAACTGTTTCTAATGGAATATAAAGAGTATATAAAACTGTATTTCCAAAAGCAGCTAATAATGTACCTGGAACACATAAAAACTGAAAACATAACAAATAAATGCAAATTTTTACCTCTGTTAGAATTGCCTTCTTCAAAGCCAGCCCTGAAAAAATAAGAACATGGTGAGGAGGTAAACACAGAAACATGCTGTTTTTACAGTCCCATTCCTAACCTAGGTAGAAGCTTTGGGATAAAGGCTGCCAGGAACCAGGGCTTCCCTCTGTCCTTCTTACAGGAAACTTCCAAATCTGAAATCAAAACTTTCCCTTTAAAAATTCATTTTGTCCAACTCAAAATGATCAGGGTTTGATTTCCTTTTCTCCATCTTTATGCATGTGTACAAGTGGATATGCACAATATTTCAACTCTCGGCTATTTCAAATTCAATATAGCCGATTCAAATTTGAAAATGAACTGTTCCAACCTTGCTAGAATGTTCCGGCATTATTCCGACCAGACCCGTTGTGTTCCAAGCTGCGCTTTGAAGTTGGAATATTTCCAGTGTAGTTGGAATGTATGAGCAATGAAACATTATGCACATCACGTTGTTTGCTTATAAATAGCCTCTATTAAAGATAATGGGATTTTCTTCAATAAAACAGAGAGATGTGGGCTGGAAATTTTATGGAGTAGAAATTTTCCTTCAAAGGTTCTCCACTTCAGGCAAGTTTGGCAATTTCAAAGCCGGACAGAATTTGCTACCAATAAAGGAGAATATTTGTAGCAGGATTGAAAGGAGAGGTCTTGGGTGTTCTCTGAATTTGGCTGTTTTCTTGCAGATGTTTCATTACCCAAATTAGGTAACATCATCTAGTCTGGGTAATGAAACTACTGCAAGAAAACAAACAAGCTCAGGAAACACCAAGGACCCCTCACAGAATTTGCTTTTCCAGGTGACTGTTCTAAAAGAAAGTTTGAAACATGGCTGTCTCCCCCTTGCCCCAAATAATATAGCCCATGTCTTTGAACAGACTATAGATCAGGGGTCTTCAAACTTGGCCCTTCGATGACTTGTGGACTTCAACTCCCAGAATTCCTCAGCCAGACACGCTGATTGAGGAATTCTGGGAGTTGAAGTCCACAAGTCATCAAAGGGCCAAGTTTGAAGACCCCTGCTATAGATACTGCGATGAATATGGTAATCAGAATTATATTCATTTGCATAGGAAAAATATTCCTATTCAACGTCTTTTGGAACAGCCACATCCCTGTAAGTAAACAAACCAGATTACTTGGGTAGCTTTCCAACCTCGCCAAGTTGTCATATTCAAGCAATCAAATTCCATCTCAATTGCTCCACCTACATTTTCGTACGAACCTTAATAAGGCCAACAACGACTCTGAATAACAAAACTCATCTCTCCACCCAGAAAAATCGGCATTCCCAAAAGAAGTCTCACTGTCCTTCATCCAACATTTATTTGTTTATGCCAGATTACCCATCTTACCTATCATAACTCTGGGAGGCTCAAAACATCACAATAAAATCAAAGGAAACAATGAAACCAACACCATCCCAAAGTCTTAGTTTTCCAACAAAACAAACTTAAGACTCGTGATTCCTCTCTGTCTAATACAGGTTGTCCTTGATTTACGACCACAGTTGGGATTAGAATTTCCGTTGCTAAGTGAGGCGGTTGTTTTAAGTGATTTTTATAACCCTTTTTTTGACGTGGTTGTTAACTGACTCACCGCAGTTGTTTAGGTGAATTATGTGGTCGTTAAATGAATCTGGCTTCTTCCATTGACTTGGCTTGTCAGAAGCCAGCTGGGAAGGTTGCAAATGGGTCATGTGACCCCAGGATACTGCAAATGTCATAAAGACCCGCTGTTGCTAACTGCCCGAATTTTGTTCACTGTAGGCATGGGAAAGCTGTGAGGGTCGCAAGTGCAAGGACCAGTCATAAATCACTTTTTTCAGCGCCACTGTAAATTTTAATAGTCACTAAGCCAGACATGTCAAACATAAGGCCCGGGGGCCGGATGCGCCCACGAAGTGGTTTCATGTGGCCCGCGAAGCCATCCTGGAAACAGTGAGGGAACGGCCCCCGCTGCCTTGGCCCTGCCCCAGGCCAGCCGGGAGCCAATGTACAATTTTGTGGTGGCCATCTATGGTGAAACGCATTCAGTCTTAGCTCCACAAGGCCGTCTGGAAACAGCGAGGAACCAGCCCCTGCCGTGTTGGCCCCGCCCCCTGGGTGCATGCTGGGGAGGTGTCACCCTTTGTGAGGAATGAAGAAATGGACCATGCCTTGGCACTTGTCCCAGTCCCACCCCCTTCGGCCAGAGACCCTCAGGTCTGTCCCACTCCTGTCCAGGCCCCCCATAGGCACCCTTGACGCGAACGATGTGGAGCTGGCCATGCCCACCCAGTAGGCTGCACCCACCCTGCCCACACAGCCCCCCCCCGAGGGCAACCGCAATGCTGATGTGGCCCTCAATGAAATTGAGTTTGACACCCCTGCACTAAGCGAATAGCTGTACAGCCAAGACACAACATATCAGACTTCAGAATTCTGAACTGTGCCGTTTTAAAATACGGTTTTGGGTACCCCAGAATGAGTGGATTTTCTTTTCGTTTTAATCTTTTGGAGGGTGGGGAAGCCAAGGGCAAAAATTGGTAATCCTTGAATATTTAAAGCATTGATTCCGTGATATCCCCTGAACCACCCCCTGTGAAAAAAAAAAAAAAAAGCAGATGGATTTTCCCACTGAAGAAACAGATGTTTTTTTCCTGTTTCGGTTTAGTTTAAAGGGCAAAATAAGCGCCTTAAGCCTCTGAAAGGCTTAAGATTCCCATTTGCCCTTTAAAAAAAAAAAAACTACAAAAATAGGAAAATAGGCCAAAGATTTCAGCTCTGCCCATTCCAGCAAGACTTTTGTATTATCAGGTACACACCTTCTCTCTAGGCAGGACACAAAAGCAAACTGCAGCCCCAAAGCCAAACAAACTACCACCCTAATTATGTTTAATTCATTATTTGGAGAAATTACCAGTCCTTTTCGCAGTCTTTTCTCTCAAGACTAAACTATCCGGTTCGAGAAGACCAAACCGGGTTTCATCCACTGCACAGAAAAAAAAAAGCTGCTGCCGAGAGTCTTTTTAAATTCATCCCTCTAAAACAGGGGTGTCAAACTCAATTTCATTGAGGGCCGCATCAGCATTGCGGTTGTCCGGGGAGGGGGGTAGCCAGGGGGGGCGGCCTACTAGGTGGGCATGGATGGAGTGGGTGTGGCCTACTGGGTGGGCATGGCCAGCTCTACATCATTTGCGTCAAGGGGGCCTATGGGGGGGGACAGATCTGAGGGTCTCTGGCAGAAAGGAGTGGGACCAGGGCAGAGCCCATCAAGCCGGATATGTGAAGTAGGCGAGGGCCATTTGCTGGCCACTTCCAGGCGATGGTGCATTTCTTCATTCCTCACAAAGGGTGACACCTCCCTGGTACGCACCCAGGGGGCGGGGCCGACACGGCAGGGGCTGGTTGCTCGCTGTTTCCAAACGGCCTTGTGGAGCTAAGACTGAATGCGTTTCAGCATAAATGGCCACCACAAAATTATACATTGGCTCCCGGCCAGCCTGGGCCAGGACCAAGGCAGCGGGGGCCGTTCCCTCACTGTTTCCAGGATGGCTTCGCGGGCCACATGAAACCACTTCGCGGGCCGCATCTGGCCCCCGGGCCTTGTGTTTGGCATGTCTGCTCTAAAAACAAATTGTTGTTAAGTGTGATATCATGTGATTGCGGCTTGCAATCTCCTTCACTGGGGAAGTCAGCTGGGAAGGTTGCAAATGGAAGCTGCCACCTTTTTTTAATGCGTGCCACACACATAACAACAGACAAAGCTTCCATCACTACGGTCTTCCGTCTTGACTCTTTTGACCACACCCTGCAGATACCTCTGATCAACTAGGACAGTGGTTCTCAACCTGTGGGTCAGGATCCCATTTGGGGTCGAACGACCATTTCACGGGGGTCGCCAAACAAGTCTGTCCACCATTTTTTCCCCCTTTTCTTTGGCCATGCCCCTGGCACCCGGTGATGTATAAGTGGTTGGGGGTCACCACAACATGGGGAACTATATTATGGGGTTGCGGCATTAGAAAGGTTGAGAACCACTGAACTAGGACATATCAAAAGCATGATGTCACGTGATGTTGTGCGACATATTCAAACTTTTTCCCCCAGGTGGGTGCGGTTTTGTGATGCGTCCGGCCTGCGGGCCTGCAGTTTGACACCTCTGAACTAGAAGGTAGGCTGTTAAATGCCAGTGTGTTCTAAGCCATGATTTAAAACGGTGAACCACCTCACTGTAACTTTAGAGAGAAAAGTGGTGCATGCTAAAAATAGTAAATTAACAGATGACATGTCATCATCCCCTGTGTTTATTCTGCTCCTCCTTCAGGATGTCTGCAGCCCATGCAAGTTACACAAGGCCAGCATTGTTAAGCACTATCTTTTAATTTAACTTCCTCAATAAGAGAGTAACTTAGCCTGCCTCTGATTGACAAAAGCTCCTTGTTGACAATTCCATGGGGTCTTTAATTCCCAGCCAAGAATTCTATTTGATTTTTGCCGTAATTATCAAGGCAAGAAGGAAGTCATACAGGAAGCGGGATTTCACAGGCGGCAAGTTTTTCCTGGCATACGAAGAACCGGCGCACAAACAGCACAGCCACAAGGAAACGGAGAGCGGTCCTCAGCTGCAGGATATTCACAGCCGTCCATCGTGAGGATGAGAAACCTTTCAAGGGATAAGGCCTTCCTCCATTGCTACAGGAAGGTTCCAAGGCAAAATGTGTGAGCTGAGCTCTGAGCTCTTTTCCTGTACCGGTTCCAGAGCTGGGGATTAGTGGCAACATTGAGGCTAATTAATCCAAGCAGCTTAATTTGCAAGTAATAAAGTTCCTGAGCCAGGCACAGCTCAGGCAGGTGAGCAATAAAGCCCCAGAAGGGCCTAATTGGCTACTTTGGGAGGAGAACAAAAAAAAAAACGGCAAAAAGAATTTCTGCATGCTTTCACTTTAAAGAGCCAAGACACTATCCAATTTGAAAGACAAATATAGGTTTAAAAGAAAAAAAAAAGTAAACTCCTCATTGAGTATCT